AGACATGGCCCCCGGACTCTCTGTTAGCCCAGAACTGAAACCATTCCTGAAGCCAACTCTTCACACAAAGATTAGACTGGACTATAAGACATAAAACGATAACTCGTAAAGAGAGTGCTTCTTAGCTCAAGTAGATACATGGGACTAGATGAGCAGGTCCTGTCTGGAGACGAGATGAGGAGGCAGAAGGGGATAGGAGCTGGTTGAATGGATTGGGAAATTGGGGTGGAAAGGAAGATTGTGCTGTCACATAGGGAGAGCAACTAGGGTCACATAACAATGTGTGTATAGATTTTTGTATGAGAAACTAACTTGAACTGTAAACTTTCACTTAAAGCACAATTAAAAAAAATATACTGTTTGACATATATGCTTTCTAGAATACCCTTTCACAAAAATAGAACTATTTTATTTCTTATTCATCTCTTATTCATGCTGGACTGGTAACAACCTGTATATTCATCAGTAGGGATTGGTTGAATAATTCTGGTACATACACATGCTGAAATACTATATAGCTTTTTAAAATGGTAAAGCTGGAATTATCTATACTGATGTGGAAAGACATCTAAGACCTATTAAATAGGCTATACTGAATATATTTATATCTTTCTTTTTCCTCTATGTAAAAAAATACACATGCTGATATCTGTGTAAGTCCTGAAAGATACATACCAAACTGTTAACAGTAATTATTTCTGAGCAGTATGCTTCCCAGAGAAATTAACTTTGCATTTCTTATTTTTCTTTGTAAGGATTATATGTTATCCAGAAAAATATTACCCTTTCTACCGGAAAAACAAAACAAGTGGCAGAAATGTTGAGAGAGTGTCCCCATTTTGTGTTGGGTATGTCCTTATTTTAGAAATTTCAGATGTAGAGTTGAGATAAAACCTGTGTTTTGAGTGCCATCAAGGATGGGGGTTTTTCAAATCGTACAAGTTCTTGCTGATAAGAATACCTCACAGTCACTGTAGAACATTTGAAAAACAGGAAATGTGAAAAAAAACCTCATTTAAAATATACTCCCAGAGACACCTGCTTTTAATACTCGTATTTATATTGTCAGAGCCCTGGTGGTGCAGTGGTTAAGAGCTATGGCTGCTAACCAAAAGGTCGGCCGTTCACCAGTTATTTAATAAAATATTTTAATGTCCATGGTTCTGTGTTTCCTTACTATCTTTTCCTAAAGCACTAAAAGTTTTGGTGGTCCAAGTATTTCTGAGTCATGATTCATCCTCACCTCTGGGTGATAGGTTAAGGGAAGATTAAGAAGTTACCACCAAGACATCGCTAGTTGATGGCTGCATCCTTTTCTAGGGATTTTAAAGGCTTTGTGTAGTGTTTTGGAGGAGCTCTGGTGGCATAGTGGTTATGCGCTTGGTTGCTAACTGAAAGGTTGGCTGTTGGAACCCACCAGCTGCTCCATGGAAGATGTGACAGTCTGCTTCTGTAAAGGTTTATGGCCTTGGAAGCCTGTGGGGCAGTTCTGCTCTGACAGGGTTGCTGTGAGTCGGAGTTGACTCAACAGCAGTGTGTTTTTTTTTTTTTTTGGTAGTGGTTTGATTCAAGGCCGATGTTATGAGAGATAGACACAAGGTTTATCGAAGCATTTTGTAAGACATTTTGAAGGACAAATCTACATGACAATTATAGAAGTCTTGGCTAACCTTTATGAGTTGGCTTGTGCCAGTTTGGTCGTGATACCTAATAGCCAGAGTGACTAGTCCATAAGTGCTCAATAAATATTTGTTGAAAGGGAAAATGGGGAAAAACTGAAAAAAAAAAAAAAAAACAAGGAAAAAATTAAAGGTGTGAATTAGAAAAGGCAGGATAGTAAGTGAGTGCTTTGGACAAATAAAGGATGGAAGTCCAATCAATTTCCAGAAAAAAACAGACTGCTCTTAGTTGGACAGACTAGAATTTATGGGTATTTTTAAGACTTGGAAAAAGGAGGATAGACGGGACCAAAATTAAAGTGTAGTACATGAAGCATTTTTATTGCTATTTACTGACATTCATTTCAATTTATGTATGATTTGGTTTCCTAATAAAATAATTATGATGATACGAAGGCCTGAAAAATACAGAAAATATTTCTCTTATTTCTCTAAAAAAAAACAAAAACAAAACTCCAAATCTCCACATTTTCCAGGCTTCCCTACCCATATTCTGTTACCTACTACTCAACATTTTTATCCCTATTCTGGCTGGAGTTTTATTCCATATAAGAAGTAAAATGTCTTTCTAGCTACGTGAAAAGGAGGAAATGTACCATCTTCATTTGTCATTGTTACAAATATTAGATTTTAGTCTATTTGGGATTTTAGAAATTAAATTGTAACTATAAATACATTTTTTCTGTCATCAACTTTTTAAAACATTACATTAAGTAATGAAAGTAACACAATATTCTCACAGTTTGGGGAAAAAAATAGAGACTAACCATTATTCTGGTTCTGGCACTCTTGGTATGTTCTATTTGGCTTTCTTTCCACAGTTTGACCATTCTTAATTGTCTTTTTCGTTTGTTTGTTTCCCTCCTTTTTAATCATCCAGATGGAGTATTTGTGTTAAAAAAAAAAAAAAAGTGTTGAAAACTGGCCTTCTCGAGAAATGGTACATAGAAATATGCTGTTAAGCTATTTAGTCTCTGGAGTGTTTTCTTTTCTCACTGACTCTAATTTACTTCTAAAATTAAACATGATAGTTCCACTATGGGACTCTGGTGAACTATAATCTTTTCCTCATCAACTCCTTTTCATCCGTATTAAATTTTTTTTTTCTTTCTATTTTTAGGTTTGAACCCCTGACAGTGCTTAAGTAATCATGCTTGGGAGCGCTTCTGCTTTATATACAGAGGTGTACCGACTCTAGGGTAGGGAGTGGGTGGGGAGGGGAATCTAGGATTCCATAGAAGTAAAAGCAACCTAATTTAGTGGATTATTTGAGAATTGGGCTGGAAAACGAAAGAGCTGGTGTGCCACTAGGGAGAAAGTCGCACAGAGAACCATGAACAGAGTGAGTGAGTGAAACACAGCCTGACCACGGAGGCCAGTCTACAGATGGGAAAGGCCTAGATGAGGTGTTGGAAAACCATTCTTGTTAAAACATGTCTTTTATGTGGGCTTTGAACTTGAGTCCTTAAAAACAAATCCTTTTCCTAGAATGCCTGTGGTTCATGACTGTATGTAAAGCACCCAGCAGGGGCTCTGCCCAATGCTTATAGCACCTTTGCAAGCTTGGTAATACCGTCCCCATTTAAAGATGCAGAAGTTGAAGCTTAAGGGAATTAAGTAACCTGCGTAAAGTTACACAGCTTGTACGTGGTGAGAATAAATTGAAGGCACCTCAGTCTCTCCAGCCTGGGCTGACTACAGAACTCATTAGAGGATACTAGTGGTATTCTTTAATACCAACACATTCCTGATTGTTGGTAACCCCTCAGGGCTGTTAATCCTTAAATTCAGAGACACTATTCTGAATAGAGGAGCCCTGGTGGTAGTTAAGTGTTTGGCTGCTAACCAAAAGGTCGTTAGTTCAAATCCTCCAGCTGCTCCTTGGAAATCCTATATGGCAGTTCTACTCTATCCTGTAGGGTTGCTATGAGTCAGAATTGACTCGACAGCAGTGGGTTTTGAGTTCTGAATAGATTGTTACCTCTGTTACCAGATAGGGAATTTTTCTGGGCTCTGGGAGCTGGGTCCTGGAGGGTCCTCACCACTTTAAATGTTATTTGTATGGTCTGAAATACCTTTCCTCCTTTTTAGTTCTCAGCTCTACCGCTCACTAGCTGAGTGACTCTGGGTGGGTTGTTTCACCTCTTTAAGCTTCATTGCCTTCATCTGTAAAGTAAGGGCAATAATAATATTTACCTCAGTTGGTTTTTCTAGGGGTTAATTTAGCATTTCCCTTATGTTTAGCTGTGTGATTTCTACAAACTGATATTGAAGGTACAAATGTTATAATGAAAAATTTCTCACATTGTAGGTCTTCTTGAATTTTCTTTGGGGAAATTTAGATACTTCAAGCTCAACAAGCCCTTTCCAGAGGAGGCTGTTCTGCGTGATATTTCCAGCAACGCAACTTTTCTTATTTTCCAAATACACTCACAGTATCAGAATACAACAGTGTCTTTTTCTAAGGTAAGTATAAGGAGTTATTTCACTGAAAACCATTTCCATATATTTGGGTCTTATATTTAGTATAAGCATTAGAATTTGATGTCTATGTTTAAGACTTTTGTCTTAAAAAAAAAAAAAAAATCAAGATTGGGTCCCGTCAAGTTAACGGTTGAGACAGGCTAAGAGGTGAGTAACTCAGGCCTCCCTTGAGCGTGGTAGCCTCTGACTTACAGAGGGGTGACAGTGCTGAGTTTGTGGGGAGTTTGCCCTGTGCCTAATGTGTCCTCTCTGAAGTAAGCTTTCCTCATGATTTCCTACTTTTTCTTTTCTTACTCTAGTGGGTCCTTGATGATTTTTAGCTGCATAGATTTTAATGGGTGTCTGTTGTTGTTTGGCTGTTTAGTGTTGAATTTTACTAAAATCCCTATAGAATCAACTTTATTCTTTTGGAGTCTTTCATGAAAATAAAAGAATTATAACCCTTTTACACCTTATAACACTGTGCTATGCTTCCAGCAGTGTTAAGGACTCTGTTAGAGAGGTCATGACTAAAGCCTTTAACCTCGACCTCAGCTTCGAAAAGTTTTTAAAATGCTCTGAATTAGTTTTTATAAATCTATATACACTTAGCAGTCTACACGAGCCGTTGGACTAATAAGTGTATTTCACTGTGTATGAAGTTGGGCCCATTTTATTTGTCCTAAGCCTACATTATAATATTCTGGAATTTAGTAAACAAAACTGTCTTAACCAAATTAATACATAGTTTATAGTTACAGAGTTTGTTCATACTAACTTTCAAACTAAGTATTTTCTGTTTTTTATTTCTGCTTTTCTGTTCCTACCATGTAGGTTTCGAACTATTGTGTATATGTGTGTGTGTTGTGTATATGTGTGTGAGTTAGTTAATAGACTAGAAATAGAACAGTTTGACCAAAGAAAAGAGGAAGGAATAAATTGTGTTAATTACAAGAGTTAACAGTGTCTATGACCCATATAGTGATTTTGCCTGAGTTCTTTGCAGCCAGAGCGGAAAGCAAAATATATGTATATGTATATATATGCAAAGTATACTTACATGTATATATACACAGTATGTTGTATATATATACAAAGTATATATGTGTGTATATGTTTGTGTGTATATTAAATATATATATTCATTCATTCATTCATGGGGACCTCCTGGAGCTTAATTAGTCAGACCTTTGGGCACCTGGTTAGGAACCCTGTGTTTAGTTTACTATATAGTTAATTTAATTCTCACAACAGCTCTACAAGGTAGTTGAAATTCCTTCTTTTACATCTGAGGAAATGGAGCTTCGATAAAGGGATGTCTTCATAACTAATAAGTAACAAAAGCAGCCTGAATGAATAGCATCTTGAGCTTTGATTTCTGTGCGGGAATGATCTTAAAAAAAAAAAACCTCATTACTGTCGGGTCGATTCCAACTCATAGTGACCCTATAGGACGGGGTAGAATTGCCCCATAGGGTTTCCAAGGAGCAGCTGGTGGATTTGAATTGCTGACCTTTTGCACCACCAGGGCCCCAGGAAGGATCTTAGTTACCCTTAATTATAATAGTCGTCCTTTCTTGGGCTGCATTTAGTTTCCACTGTATTTATATTGTGGAGAAGATGATGACCAGAACTGCACATAGCTCTAGAAGGGAGTGGTCTGTGTGAAGAGATTGTTTCTGTTTCCTGTGCCCTTTGTGATGAAGCATGCCACTTTGGGTCTCTGGGTCAGATGGCAGTTGGTTCTTTGAAGCTATGAACCCTGTAGTTCATCAGTTAATATTTGGGTCATTCTCCATTATGTTTTTCACATTGAAAACCATCTAGCATTTTTTCTTCCTATTTCCTTGACTTTAAGAGAACTCTCTAAGTCTGTTACGTCTTAGCTTAGCATTTTATTTTTCAAAGCAGGTGGGGGGAGGAGAGCACTAGAGTGGAAGATATTGTGAGGAGGAATTACAAAGGGGCACTAGGAAGCTTTTAGGGGTGATGCATATGTTCATTATTGTCAGTGTGTTGATGGTTTCATGGTGTCTGCACATATAAAAAGTATCTAATAGTATACTTTATGTGCAGTTGATTATGTCAGTTACAATTAAATAAAAAAAAAATGGAGCTTTCCAAACACTATGAACTCCTTCAGGGCAGGGCTTATGCTTTGTCTTGGTAGTCTGAGTACTTGACATGAACCCGTTAACCAAACTCATTGCCGTTGAGTCGATTCCAACTCATGGCGACTCTATAGGACAGAGTAGAACTACCCCATAGGGTTTCAAGAGAGTGACTGGTGGTTTTAAAATGCTGACCTTTTGGTTAGCAGCCGTAGCTCTTAACCACTGTGCCACCAGGGCTATGTCAAGACTTGCTATGTCAAGACAATACTTGACATAGTAAGTCTTAATTCAGCTAAATCGAAAAGCTTGGGAATTCCACTGTGCATCTGCTATTCCTGACCAAAGATTGTCTTAAAGAGTCCTTCTATGTGTATGTGTGGTCGCACACACATAGAAATGAAAACAATTATTTAATTATCTAAGGAAGGTCTGTTTTTTGTTTGTTTGTTTTGAGAAGATCTAGAATAAAACAGGCATATTAGGTCAACTCTGGAATTCAAATATTTTGCTCAGCTCCCTATTCATGATGACTTCTTTTTTGGACCTAATTGCAGACTCTCCTTCCCAGTACCTCGGGAACAGGCACTGACAAGGGACTGGTTTTCATTCTTAGACCAGAGCAGAGTATGTGCACATGGTATTTGGAGGCTGCAGATGCTGAGCCTGTCCAAAGCATGGCTGTTCCACTTTCCTACTCAGAAAGAGGTAAGCTTCTGTAATTGACTCGCTATTACTCTCCAGAAAGATGGATAATATGGACCATGTTGATGAAATTTTAGAGAAAACTATAATTAAAAGTGCTTATAACAAGTGCTTATTACAAGTATAATTTATTGAATCAGGTGTTAATAGCAGGGGAATCAGAATTAGCATGACAATTGAAAGCCCAGGTAGTGACTAAGGGAATACATTTATTCATCCCAAAAACATTTAAAGAGACCTTGGAGAATTAGTAATAGAAAGACAAGACATATTCCTTAACCCTTTAGTTGGCTGTTCTAGGCAGAGGAAGCAGTAAGCTTAATGTCATGAAGTATGGAAGAAGGACAGTATATTTGGAGAATGGCGAATACTAGGTGTGTCTGGAAGCAGAGCGTCAAGGGCCTTGTATACCATTTGAGGTTTGTACTATGTTCTGTGGGTTCCAGAGGAAGCATAGAGAATTTTTAAGCAGAGGAGTGATGCGATCCATTTTGTCTATTAGAAAGCAAACTCTAGAAGCAGTGTGGGGTGGATTGGAGAGGGCCTAGCAAGTCAGAAGTATCAGCACACCTTTGAGGCATCAAAGTGAGAAATGAGGATCTGAACCATGAGAGGGGAGATAGAGAAGAAGGGCTGGACTTGAGATGTTTGGAAGGTAGAATTGGTAGGACACAATGACCAGTGGTTATGGATTATAAGAGGGGGTAGCCTGGACTTCCCATTTGGGCAGCTGGTACATAGTGATGCAAAACAGGTATAGGAACAGGGTTGTGGTGGTGGTAAATGTTTTAGGGAGTTGCATGGAGAGAGAGAAATTTCATTTTAGGACACAGTCTGAGATTCCTATAGGTCATCCAGATGGAAATGCCTAGTAGGCCATTTAAAATAGGGACCTGGAGTGGAGGGGTGAGGTTAGACATGAAGCCATCACTAAACAGGTATTTGTCTAGAGTGTAGTTAGAAATTTAGGAGAAAAAAATAGCAGTAAATGCTTCCATAGTGCCTACCACATGCCAGACACTCTTCTGGGAGATACTAACTAATAGGCCCAAGAGTGAGAAGTAGGAGGAGAGCCAGGAGGCTGAGCCTTAAGCAAGAAGCAGTAAATAGTATGCTGCAGAGAGGTCGAGAGAAGTGACTGAAAATGTCTGCATGATAGGGCAATTAAGAGTCAGTGGTGACGTTTAATGAGAGTCAGTTTAGTGGTGCAATATGGATGAAAACTAGATTACAGAGATTGAGGAATGAATGCGAGTGAGGAAACTTAGACTATTTTTAAAGTTCACCAGTAAAGCAAAGGCGAGTGAACAAGTAAATGGCTAGTAAAGAAGAATCCAAACCAAAGTTGAGGAAAGAAAATGCTATCTGTAGCAAAATGGTACTTACTTGGTGAAAAACCATAGTACCGTCAAGCTTCCAACAAAGTACAGTGTACAAAGCAAAATTATGAACAGTGGAGCTTCAATTAGAATGCATATCATTTTCTAGGATGTAGTAAATATTTGGGAATGCAGCAAAAGGAGAGTCTGAAAGCAGAGCACAGGATTTTGAGGAAGATTCCACACAATGTTGAAACATAAGTCCACACTGCATATCTCCATTCCAAATCTGGCCAAGGGAAGTCAACCATCAAAATTCCAAAAGTTTATGGAAACTAAGACCCAACTGTGGGAATGATTGTATGAGTGTATGAAGTTGTGATCTGATAAATCTTTAAATTGGTGTACCCTGTTCTGTCTTATCGCAACTTCTGGTTGAGCCAATGTCAAGTGACTTCTTTAAGTTTCATAAGGCTTAAAGGTCATAAACAGGATTTCTAATAAGAAAAGAAGAGCTGCTTTAGCCACATTGTTAATGTAAATGAAATACTCAAATTTTATTTTGTTTTTAATTGAACACCCAAATGCTGTTATTATTCCCATAAAATCTTGGGGGTCCTGGAGTCTTTTATTTTTTACTCTTTTGTGTATATGCAAAGACTGTTCCAGCTGTGAGGGTAACACCTCCCTGGTGGAAGCAGCATGTGAAAAATGGACACCTCTTTCTCTGTTACCCATGGAATTTCTTTTCTGTTTGGCAGTGTTTTTTTTTCTTCTTCTATCCCCATATTCTTAAGCTTTTTGAAGTCACAGACACCCAAAATCTAGTAAAAACTTCTCTCCCTAGGGAATGCATGAACTCAATATTTGACATATAATTTTAGGGGATTTGTGGAGCCCTTGAAACCCATTCTTGGACCCCAGCTTAGGAATCTGTCTCTTCTGACCTTTTTATGCTAAAGAAGAGGTTGGCCAGTTACCAACAATGAGGCAAATCCAGCTTGCTGCCTGTGTTTGTACAAGATTTTTTGGAATACAGCTACGCCTATTCATTTACATATTGTCTATGGCTACACACAAGGGCAGAGTTAAGTAGTTGAGACTGCCAGGCCCACAAAGCTTAAAATATTTACTGTTTGACCCTTTACAGAAAAGGTTTGCTGACCCCTGCTTTAGAGCCCTTAACTTCAGTTAACCTTACTCCCTTGACCCTCAATTCATGAGATAGTATAAAACTAGAAGCTCTGAAGAATGTTTAACCTTTACCTGGGAAGTTCTTGTAAGATTAAAGTTCTGTATTTTTGAGTATGATTTAGACATAAAAGAATTTTTTAAAAATAACTTGTTATTTATTTTTCGTCTAGATCCTGTCCCTGGGGGCTGTAATTTGGAGTTTGATTTAGATATCGATCCCAACATTTACTTGGAGTATAATTTCTTTGAAATAAGCATCAAATTTGCCCCAGCAAACCTAGGCTATGCAAGGTATGTCTGTTTCCCATCTCCTAAAATGCTTTTACAACGTGTGAATAGCTATTGTGTAGATACAGGGAGCTCTCTCAAAATCCATAGGTCTCTTTAATAAAACTGAATTGGTTTAATTTTTTTGTTTAGAATTGGTATAATTTAAACATTGTTACTAATATTTGAGTTCTCTTTCACAGTTAATATTTTCCCCCTCCATTCTTATCAACTCTTTTTATTCGAATAGCCAGATGCCAAGTCTCTATTTTGAGCTTGCAAGTATTGCTTAATTTCTGTAAAGAATTTTAAATATAGAAAGCATTCTGCAGCCCTGAAACACTTTTATATTTTTATAAGGGTTTTATTATTTTAACTAAACTCTGCCTTGGTTTTTACTTTAATATTAATAACAGCTAACATTTGAGTGCTCCTTCTGCTAACCGAAAGATTGGAGGTTCGAATCCACCCACAGGCACATCAGAACAAAGGCCTGGTGATCTACTTCTGAAAAATCAGCCATTGAAAACCCTATGGAGCACAGTCCTACTCTGACATACATGGCGACGCCATGAGTCAGAATCGACTTGACAGCAACTGGTTGTGCATCATCCATGGTGCTGAGTGCTGGATAATTTTTTTGCCATTTAATCCTAAGAACTTTATGAAGAAGAGGCAGTTCTTATTTTACAGAGAGGTTCCCTCATGGTTATTGAGGTTAAGTGATTTGCTCACGTGCATACCTCTAACAGATGGTAAAGCTGGCCATCAGAATTGGATCTTTTAACCTCACTGCCTCTCAGTGTGTTACTTTCTTCAGAATACCAGTTATTGCCTCTGAAAAAGGTCAACTGTTAAATTGGAACTGTTGCAAGAGTATGAAATTAGAGCTTTGGTTCCTTCTTATAGATGGAACTTGTACCACAAGAGATTGATGTTCAGTTTTGTTGGTTGACTTTAGAGGCACAGACCCTCCACCATGTGACGTTGGGATGGGCCAGGACTCTAGGTGGAGGTTGCGGTATGATGTCTACCAGTATTTTCTACCCGAGAATGACCTCACTGAGCAGGTGTTGCTGAAACATCTGCAGAGGATGGTCGAGGTGCCTCAGGTGAAGGCCAATGCTATCAAGGTAAATCTGATTCTCATTATTTGAGTGGCTAGATTGTGACGCTTTTGTAAGTGTTGAGAAGAGGAGAAGCTATCCAAAGGTTATTGCTTTATTGTTTTTTTGGTCCTTCGAAGCTTATTATTTTATTCTCTTTTATTTCCTTATCATCTTGGGAGTCTTTGCTAATGATATCCCAAAGTGGTGTTGGCCATTGAGGAGACGCATTTAAATTATGTTAGGTTCTCGTTGGAAACACATACGTGGCTTGGTATTCTCGAGATATGGATGGAAGTGGGTGTACTCCCACTCTCTTATGTACTCTCATAAGTGTTAGATAAAACTTTTGACAAGTATAAGGAATATAGTGTTTTGAGAAAAATTAATGACGAGCTGTTCAAGATTATACACATTAGCGTTAATATTTGAAACCCAAATTCAGAGTCTCTAACTTGGAGCAAAAACATTCTCTGAGCTTTCAAACCCCACACTCTTGCTACCATGAGCTGTGAACATGACCAGCAGCATGGGCATCACCTGGTAGATTGTTGGAACTGCAGACTGTTAGGCTGTACCCTAGACCTACTGAATCAGAATTTGCACTTTTATAAGATACCCAGGTGATTCCTATGCACATTAAAATTTGAGACTCACTGCTCTAGATCATTTTTATGGGGGTCAGGATTTTTATCTTTATATCTTGAAAGGTACCTGGTAGCTGTATAATATACAAGGCTATACTTCAGCCTAACGGTTGATCGGTGGAATTATTCTAGACTGCTCTGTTCTTCTTGGAAGGTTGATATAGAACTTGATTATGTAGAAAGTGATTGAAACAGGGCATATGTAATAGACTAGGGGCACTGTCCATTGCAGAGCAAGATCTCATTTTGTTGAGGGGACCCCTAGGATGTCGTTGCCCCATGGTAAGGTGGAGCCATTTCCCTGTTTCCCTACCAGCTTTTTGCTGAAAATTCTTGCTGGTTTGTATTAGCTTCTAGGTGGGAGTTGAGTTTAATTTCTTCCTGAGAAACTCAACATACAAGAAAACTCATTTGCTTACTTACAAATTGAGAAGCTCTGTTGGTAAAGTTTATCAGTTGCCTTTTTAGATAAGAAATTTTCAAGACCAGCTTTATTCTCATGAAGAATATAAGATCTCATAACAGGGCCTATTTAGGTTTGTGAGAAGCAAGTTAAATGCTGGTTAAATGTGCCAGAATGCAAGGAAACCCTCAAAGACTAATGAAAACATATCAGAAGGACTGTGAAGCCTGTTTAAAGGGCATTAGTCAACTTTGAGGCAGTTCAGGCATCACAAAGAATAATGATCGCGATTGATTGTAAGCCTTGAAGAAAAATGAGTCCGTGCTGATACTAAAAACAAAAAACAAAAAGCTCCTCAGTTGCTCCCATTGGAGATGACTGTTACACCAAATCCTTATCTGAAATTTGGTAAAGGGGAGGAATTGACTCTGCCTTTTTATTTTTTAGTGCTTTAAGTGAAAGTTCACAGCTCAAGTTAGTTTCTCATATAAAAATTTATACACAAATTGTTATGTGACCCTAGTTGCTCTCCCTATAATGTGACAGCACACTCCTTCTTTCCACCCCTGATTTCCTGTGTCCATTTAACCAGCTCCTATCCCTTTCTGCCCTCTTATCTCACCTCCGGATAGGAGCTGCCCATTTAGTCTCATGTATCTACTTGAGCTAAGAAGCACACTCTTCATGAGTACCATTTTCTGTCTTACAGTCCAGTCTAATCTTTGTGTGAAGAGTTGGCTTCAGGAATGGTTTTAGTTCTGGGCTAATAGTCCAAGGGCTATGTCTTCCATGGTTCCTCCAGTCTCAGTCAGACCATTAAGTCTGGTCTTTTTACTAGAATTTGTTTACTCTGTTTTTTTAAAAGAAGACACCATAATTCATCCTTAGTTGATGAGAGAAAGCACTTTTTTTAAATAGACTACTGGCCAATAAATGTCAATGGAACAATAAAACCAAAAAAACAAACCTGTTGCCGTTGAGTTGATTCCAACTCGTTGTGACCCTATAGGACACAGTAGAACTGCCCCATAGGGTTTCCAAGGAGCGGCTGGTGGATTCGAACTGCTGAGCTTTTGGTTAGTGGCTGAGCTCTTAACCACTGCACCACCGTGGCTCCAATGGAATAATGGAATTAGAAAATCACCATTTTGTGGTCCTCGATGAAATAATTAATTGAGGCAGTGATCATCAGGTGAAAGATTGTTGGGGAACTGGATATTCCCACGGTGCCCAAGTATCACCCCCAGATTAATTCTGATTACCTTTAGAGTAAAAGAGAAAACTACCCTTAGAGTGAAGTGATCTGGTGGTCTTCACCTTATCCAGGTGGTCAAAGTTCACTTAACCAGCGTGGGTCAGTGTGCATTATGTGCTCATTATTTAATGCAGTATGAAATAACCACCATCACCTATGGAGTATTCTTACGAAAAACATTTGACCTGAATTCAGTCTGTTGGATTTCTTGTTTATAGGAAATATAGGTGATGAAGGAACAAGTTAAACACCTTGAACACAATTTGATAAGACATTCCAATTGTGTAATATTCTATAAGATACTTGACTTTGTTTCTTCAAAAGTCATTATTGTTGCTGGTGGGTGGGTAGAAGAGGGTGATGGAAGATCTGTTCCAGATTAACAGAGATAGGAGATAAACACCGAACATGAAATTTGGTTAGCTCTAGGTTAAGAACTTGGTTAAAAGCTATAAAAGACATTTGAGGCAATTTGAATGTGGACCATGAATTAAATAGATACTAAGAAATTATTGTTAATTTTCTTACATGAGCCAAGGTATCTTGTTATATGTGAGAATATCTTTATATTTAGTATCTTGCTACCCAGAGTGTGGTAGATGGTACATAGCATTGGCATTACCTGGGAGCTTGTTGTAAAAGGAGAATCTCAGGTATCAGATCTGACCTACAAGATCAAAATCTGCATTTTAACAAGATCCCCCAGTAATTCACAGGCACATTAAGTTTGAGAAACACAGTTTTAGGACATGCACGCTAAGTATTTAGAAATGAAATGGCATGATATTTTTAACTTACTTCAAAATGGTTCAGCAGGATATTTCTGAACTGTGGAAGTCTTCAAGGAGGCTCATAATTATTCCTGAAACTCTGTTATTTTACTTTTCTCGTTTATATATTAGTAGGAACATGTTTATGTATTGTTATATAGGGGATCTGTTTCTTCTATCATATGTATTACCTATCTGAAAAAAATAGCCTTTAAATGGGAAGTTAAGGACTACTGTATAACACAGTCATATGTATTGTTTTCTTATTTCAGAGCCTGTTAGAAAAAATCAGTGGATACCCCATAAGAGATGTTAGCAAAAGTTGTCTATGCCAGTTCCACAGCTAGTAGTAATGACGAACATTTATTGAGCACTTACTCTGTGCCAGGCATTGTGCTAAGTGTTAAGGAAAGAATAGTGAGCAAAATAAACATGGCTCTTGTCCTTATGTTGCTTACAATTTAGCAGATGAGAAAAAAAGTTTTTTTGTTTTTTTTTTGCTTTGTCCTATGTAGCATTTATACGTTATATCCATCATATTTTACTTAAATTATTAACATTTTACACTGTACAAAAACTTCAGAAGCAGTTTGTGTAAGAGTTTGTTCGTATTAACACACAAACTGTGGGGTGGTCCTTTGACAAAGCATAATGGGTTGGTGTATACTTTAAACAAGAATTATAATTTAATATCCCACGGAATTAAAATAGCTTTTTTTTTCTCTTAATACTAATAATGTGTTATTTTTGGCTTCAGGTGGTTACCCTAACAGCTAATGATAAGACAAGTATTTACTTCTCCTCTCTCCGGGTACAAGGTGTAATTTATAATGTCATTGTTTGGGATCCACTTCTAAATACATCTGCTGCTTATGTTCCTGTTCACACATATGCTTGCAGTTTTAAGGCAATGGAGGGTGATTGTTCTTCTCTTGGTAAGTATATGGATTTAAACTATGAAAAAATTTTCTTTGGCTTTGTAGATCTATATCAACTAATAGAGAACTTAAAAATATTAAAAATGCTTTTGTCTATTTTTTATTCATTCATGCAACAAATATCTTTTAGGCGCCTACATTATTCCAGTCTCTTTCCTAGTTGCTAGGGATGTAGCAGTGAACAAACCAGACAGTACGTCTGCCCTTATGTCACTTTTTATTGGGTTGGAAGACATTGCCATTTTGGTGATTATATTTGCTGGAAACTTACACCAAATTTTTATTTGAAAAAAATCATCCCAGTGAACTTCATATTGTGGGTATAAAGATTGAATCCTAGAATGATAATCTACCACAGGTCTGAAATAAGTAGAATGTGGAGTTTTAATCTTTTGTTCAATATTCTTTCATTTGGGCTCTTCATTCTCAGAAGAGTGATATATAGTTATATATTATGCCCTACAAATTCTAGTCATCTGTGTTTCTTATTTAAATGTGTATCTTTATGGTATCTCCATCTGAGCTCTTTTAAACATTTTGACTTATTTTGATTTGTAGCAGGTTTGTTAACATTTTCTTGTGAAGTTGTACAGGTGCTTTTGTTTATAATTTGGAATTACCATTTTGTGCTCATCTCTAAGGAGTTATGAGGGTGGCATGTTAGTGAGCAGGTTCTACTCTTAAATAAGCTTTGTTTTTGAACAGGAATGTTATTTGTAAAGAGCCCTGGTGGCGCAGTGGCTAAGCACTGGACTGCTAACCAAAAGGTCAGCAGTTCAAACTCACCAGCCACTCCATGGGAGAAAGATGTGGCAGTCTGCTTCCGTAAAGATTGCAGTCTTGGAAACCCTATTGGACAGTTCTACTCTGTCCTGTAGGGTCGCTGTGAGTTGGGATTGACTTGATGGCAACGGGTTTGGTTTGGTTTTTGGTTGATGTTATTTATATTTAAGTTTGTGTCTATTAAAGGTCACGGAATTAGGGATTCGTTGACATCATGAAGCATATTACTGTTGTGCTTTATTATTAGTTATAACACAACGTTTTTTTCCAAAACAATATATATAATTGATAAGGTTGAAATTGATGAGGTTGTAATATAAAAGTAGTTTGTACATATGTGAGTTAGAGTGTAATACATGTTCTTTTATTTTAATGCATGTTTGAGTTTAAACTTTTTATTAGGAAAACTTCAGTGAACTCCCATGTACCCATCGCCCAGCCTTAAGAATTTTTGACTCAGTGCCATTATCTTGCTTCAGCTATACTCCCACCTTCTTCTTTGACTCCCCATCCTCCTATATTATTGTATTATTTTAAAGCAAACCCCCAACATCATTTTGCTTGCAAATACTCACCAATATTTCAGTATGTATATCTTAAAGATAAGCTGTTTCCCCCCCAGCATAACCATAGTACCACTAACACTCTTAAAGATATTGAAAATAATTCCTTAATAGCGTCAAATTTCCAGGCAATGGAAATCATCAGTGGTCTCAATTGTTTTTAAAAGTTTGTTTGAATCAGGTTTCAGATAAGGCCTATGCAGTGCATTTAGCTGTTATGTCTGTTACTCCACCTCCCCCCACTTTAATTTCCTGGCAGTTTATTTGTTGAAGAAACAGAATTATTTGTTAGGTAGGTTGTCTTTCTCCCTGCCTCCTTCTTTCCTCTTTTCTCCCTTCTTCCCCTACCCTCTTTCTGCAAGAATATATCATAGGTAGTGTTGTATACCTCTGTCAGGAAGCATGTATTGTTTGATTACTGTTTTTGTTATAGCAGCAGCCATTGATATTCTTTGCCTAGATACAATGAATATTCATTAGTGGTGGCAAGGATATTTAAAAAATAATTTTAAAATACATACGTATGTAATAAATCCTTGTCCGTTTACTTTTCTTCCATGAAGTTTTTGTGTATTAATTAAATACAAAGTATCAAATTATATGTGTTATCCACTAAATTTTCATGATTTTTAGGAAGAGTATCTACCAAAGTGTTCTTCACTGTCTTTGCCCTGCTTGGTCTCTTCATTTGTTTCTTTGGACACAGATTCTGGAAAACAGGTAATTATATCTGATGTAATTGCTCTTTATATGCCTTGTGGTCTTTTTTCTTAAACAATGCTGGGGGCTTTATGACCTGGAGCCCCAGTGGCTCCAGGTTAAGAGCTCAGCTGCTAACCAAAAGATCAGCAGTTTGAATCTACCAGCTGCTCCTTGGAAACCCTATGGGGCAGTTCTGCTCTGTTGTGTAGGGTCACTGTGAGTCAGAATCAACTCAACAGCAATGGGTTTGGTTTTGTTTTTTTTTTTTGGAAGGAGAGTAAGCAATTACTTATCTTCATGGGTTCGTGACTGGATTTTTCTCACAAAGATTTTGCTGAGTTGCTCTGCATTTTTTTTTAAATCCCTGAGCAGTAGCGTGAAACCTCCTCTTATTAAGAAATGAATAAATTTGGTTTGTGCAGCAGATTTCTTCAGCTGCTAGTTCTGCTTGTAGACGAAAGATAGCCTAGGTTAGAAATCAGGATCGTTTAACAGAAATGTGTGTTGATTTTGGTGATGGTGATTGACTTGGTTTTATATACATCAGTCTTACAAGGCTGCGATATACAGTGAGATTGAAATGTCCGACTCAGTCCTGGGAGATTCAGACACCAAACTGAAATGTCAGAGTCCACATCAGTGAGCGCAGTGCAATACAAATCATGCTCCTTGAATTGATCTGAATTCTTTGGGCTGCCTTTTATGTAACTGATGTTTTCAATTACTAAAATAAAAAAAAAACTTCATTTAATTAATAAGCTGTGTAACTGAGCCTCAAGGGGAGAGTGAACATAATCCTGTTCTAATAAAACTCTTTAAACTTGCCTTAATAATAAATTGTTGGAAATAGCAACTCCTTTTCCCCATTAGGAGTCCCAGGGTAGTACCAACAGTTCATGAGGTTGGCTGCTAATTGAAAAGTTGGTGGTTTGAGTCCACTCAGAGGTGGTTTAGAAGAAGGGCCTGGTGATCTGCTTCCAAAAAATCAGCCATTAGAAACCCTATCCAGCACAGTACTCTGACACACATGGGGTCGCCATAAGTTGGAGCCGATTAAATGGCAGCTGATTTTTTTGGTTTTCCTCCATTACTATGCTCCTTTCTTGATTAATTGGGCAGAGCGTATTGTGAAGACAATTTAATTCCTTCAAGTGTGGAATGATGTGTTAACAAAGAATTTAACTGCTAAGCTTGCTGACATCTTGCTTTGGAATATGTTGTGAGATTTTTTTTAACTTTCAAATTTTATGTTTGCCACATAACTATTGAAATTTCGTGTGTAGTTTCAGATCAGACACAAATGACAAAAGTACTATTCTTAAGTAGGAGATATAAATATATTAAAATGAGCTATGAAATTAACAATTTAATAATTGGAATTGATCTAGATTTAAAAGTGTACCCTGTAGTTAATGCTTTAATACTGTATCTATTTAATAATAATATTTACTCCCAATGACTTCTAAAATTCTCCTGTCTCTTAGATAATAATTTTTCTTCTCTGAATGCCCTGTGTAAATTCTGGGAGTTTAAACATGTTACTTGTAGATTGGATATTTAAATTGCATTGTAAAAAGAGTATCTAACCATATCTTATTTTCTCTTTTTCTTTCCTGCTGGTTTGCTACTAGAATTATTCTTCATAGGTTTCATCTTCATGGGATTCTTCTTTTATATACTGATTACAAGACTGACACCTATTAAGTATGATGGTAAGTTAAAACTATATAGTTTAATTAGATGGTGTTCAGATAGGAAGATGCTGTTTACATGGTACCTTTCCTTCTACAGTTTGAGCAGTATTATGAGCAATATCCCATTATACATGTAAAATAAAGGGCCACCTAGCCTCTAAATGGAGCCCTGGTGGTGCAGTGGTTAGGAGCTTGGCTGCTAACCAAAAGGTTGGCAATTTGAATCCACCAGCTGCTCCTTGGAATCCCTATGGGGCAGTTCTTCTCTGTCCTATAGGGTCGCTATGAGCCGGAATCAACTTGATGGCAACGAGTTTGGTTTTTGGGTTTTTTTTTTTATCCTCCAAATATCTTTTGTAAACTACTCATTCTGATCTTATTTCCTGTATTTTAATCTGCATGGTAAATTTCTTAGTACTTAGAGAAATGAAGGGCTTTGTTGATTATAAACCACGTGATATAGTGAAGAGATGAAATTTACAGCAATCGAAATGTTAAGATGTCCTTTACCTTAAAAGAAACACCCTCTCTTTCCCTAACAGATTTAACAGAATACTGGTCAGCTCTTCTTCCTCATCTCTAACTTCCAGGTAGTGCGAAGCCCAGACTGTCACCGCTCCTGTGTGGCTTAGCTCCCTGGCTAGTTTCTACATCTCAGACCAGGCCCCTCCCTGAAGAGGGCCTCTCGATGCTTGTGACATGAAACCACTGCAGAGCCCTTGGTGCCAGACCAGCAGAAAGGCTGGGGCAGGCTCTGGCAATGGTATTGTGTGTCTAAGCATAGGGTTGGGATTGCTGCTAGTGATCAAACTGTTCATCTTCTCCCTTTGTACAGTTCGTCTGATTCTAACAGCCATAGCTGGAAGTGTTGGTGGAATTTTCTTGGTCGCTACATGGTGGCGATTTGGAATCCTCATGCTCTGCATGCTGTGTGTTGGACTGGTGCTGGGGTTCCTCATCTCATCTGTGATATTCTTCACTCTGCTGGGTAGGAGATCCATAACTAATGTTTTATGTGCTCAGTTCATTGCTTGAAAGACTTTATTTGGGCTCTCTAGATTCAAGTGGAGTTGCTGAGTGGTGCAAATGGTTAATGTGCTCGTTGCTAACCGAAAGGTTGGTGGTTCGAGTCCACTCAGAGGCGCCTTGGAAAAAAGTCCTGGTGGTCTTCTTCTGAAAGGGCACAGCCTTGAAAGCCCTATGGAGCAGTTCTACTCTAACGCACGTAGGGTTTCCACGAGTTGGAATTTGATGGCAGCTGACAACAATAACAGCAGGGTAGTAAGTAGCACAGGAATGGTTCTGGGAACTTATTTTTTAAGTAATTCAATTTTTTTTTTTTTAAACCTGGTTAACTTGTAAGTTCACTTTCTTTGCTGTTTTACAATAACTTAAATTTTAAAAATGCAAAACAGGAATATCTACATTCTGAAGTGCTCTATTAGGCTGTTCCATTCTTGTGATATATGCTTAGTTTTTATATTAGAATATTACATTAAAGAGAAGACAGTCTGCAGTGGAGCAGTACTATTTAGACTTAGCTAACCTACAGATTCATAAGGGGTGTTTGTTGAAAATAGATTTGAGTCCCTACCCTAAATCTCTAGGGTCGCTATGAGTCAGAATCAACTCGACGGCAACAGGTTTCCCTAAATCTCTAGGGACTCAAATACTACATAATGGGCTCTCCCCTTGCTTAATGTTTGGAGGATGAGGGGGTGACAGATTAGAATTTTTAGTGTTTACTGTGTTTTTGATGAGTAGAATGAGCATAAATTATGAAGTCAGGAAAAAAAAAACCTATGTTTACATTCTAGCTGTCACTAGTATCCATACTAACAACTTTGCACAAGTGATTGAAGTTTTGTCTCGTCTATAAAATAGAGGTAATAACTATTTCAGAGTAGAAGTGAGGAGTAAATGAGATAATATAAATAAAGAGAAAGGCCTCTTAATTTTCCTCTTTATAAAAATAGCTTAGAGCAGTTGTTGCTAAACTTTTTTAATAAACTACTTCTGTTGGTAAAAATAATTTTAGCTTATACCCTTTATCTGTATGTTTGCCTGTGAACTATTTCATAGGCCAAGGACAGTTGGGGTGAGGGTTCCCTCATTGATGGTGTTGTTAGGTGCCGTCAAGTCAGTTCCAACTCATATCAACGCTGTATACAGCAGACCGGAACACTGCCCGGTCCTGTGCCATCCTCATGATTGTATGCTTGAGCCCATTGTTGCAGCCACTGTGTCAATCCATCTCATTGAGGGTCTTCTTTTTCACCCTCTCCTTTACCAAGCATGATGTCCTTCTCCAGGAACTGATCCCTCCTGATAACATGTCCAAAGTATGTGAGATATAGTCTCACCATCTTTGCTCTCCTCAGTGCTAGTGGGTGCAAATTCATATTTTTAAGCCTTAAAAGTTGAAAACTATTTGGCTGACCTCTCAGATGTGATTAGATTACTACTGTTTTCACCTTTCACCTTTGGATAGTAAAGAGCTTATACTCTGAAAGGGTCAGCTCTTCACATGCTTGCATCATAACTACTATTTTCAATCCCCCGTTTCCTTGAAAGGCTTTTTGTTAAGTCGTATGTGTATTTTGTGAACGTTAGTACTATACAGTTAAACTAGAGAATTCAGCCCACAATGCACCTAATGGCAGCACGTTGCAGTTTGCTTTAGAGAATGAACATGTGGGTCCTGCGGTCAGATCCTCTTGCTCTGGATCTCCCACTCTTCCCAGGATATGTGAGTCCTAAGACATGGGCCAGCTGATAAGTGGACTGAATGGTGGGGCCAGTGTCAGTATTAAACATGGGGCTTGTATTCTTGCTTTTTAAACTTATGAACAGGGATTTTGATATGTTCATCCTGCATCACCCTGAAGTGTGCTGCATTTTGAAGTCCAGCAGGGGGAGAATGGCTTAGCAGATGAGTGGTTAGCTCCTGTCTTTCCTCATGTGTGGGGAAATCATGTCTGCCAGCATGCAGAGAGGCTTGGCAGGAAACTTTGATAAGTAAAAGTCTATTAGATGAATTTTGCTTATTGTATTGGGTGCGAGGTCATAGCTTAACTCTAAATGCCACTTATTTGTATTTTTACTTTGCAGTACAAAGTCATGGAATCAGAAATTTAGAGCTAGAGCTTGGAGTTGATGTGGTTCAATATTCTCATTTTATGGGTTAGGAACTCTGGGCTCAGGATCACAGAGTTAGGGAATGGAAGAGCTTGAACTACTCAAAAAAAACAAAAAGCCAGTTGCTGTGGAGTCAGTTCTGACTCATGGCAACCCTGTGCGTGTCAGAGTAGAACTGCACTCTGTAGGGTTTTCAGTGGCTGTGATCTTTCGGAAGTAGGTTGCCAGGCCTTTCTCCCAAGATGCCAATGGGTGAACTTGAACTGCCAACCTTTTGGTTAGTAGCTGAGTGCTTAACTGTTTGTGCCACTCAGGGACTCCTGAATTACTCTACCTTCTTCTGAATTATCCTGGGAGTAAGTACAGAGCATTTACCTGCTTGATCTTCCTCCATCCCACACACACATACTTGTAGGATACACCTTTTAAAGGGGATTGTACTGACATTTAAACAAAGAAAATCAGAATTCTTTTCTACTTGCTCAGATATTTCCTCATTGTTATTTAAACTTTTGATGTATGTTTCTGTTCAGATGTTGAGAAAATGAACTTAACTTGCTGAACCTGTTATTGTGATTTTTTTTTTCAGGAAACGTGAAGATTTTTCGTGATGATGTTGTGTTTTGGATGACCTTCTCTTGTATAGCTATTATCATCCCTTTAGTTTTCATGGGCTGCCTAAGAATAGTAAGTGTTTCATCAAAAGTTAGATTTGTTTATTTTATTGTCCTTGGCCCTCAATTGATCATTTATGCATCATTTTTCATATTTTATACACTAGGGAGGGCTGTATGGTAATTTGTATGAGATGATTGATTCTAAATAGGCTTGTTACTATGAAAGCAAGAGAAGTTTCGTTTAGCTAATCACACAGTGATTTTTTTTTTCACCAGTTGAGCAAGTCATCACTGTCAGTATGCTTTTAACAGAGGAGGCAGAGAAGGTAGGGTGTTCTGTAGTGCACCAGCTTGATGGATCCTTACTCTCAGCTGTCTCCAGAAGAATGGCCCTTCATCTAATTAGACTTTAGTTTTGAAGTTCTTTCACCAGAACATAGTTTCCATATTTTGTTCTCATAAACTGTGTTTTAAGACCTGACTGTGGATGTCGAAAGGAACCCTGGTGGTGCAGTGGCTTAAGTGCTCAGCTGCTAAACCGAAAGGTCAGTAGTTTGAACCCACCAGCCTTCATGGGAGAAAGATGTGGCAGTCTGCTTCCATAACGATTTACGGCCTTGGAAACCCTATGGGGCAGTTCTACTCTGTCCTACAGGGTCGCTATGAGTTGAAATCGACTCGATGGCAGGGGGTTTGGTTTGGTTTATGGATGTCGACGGTTGTTTTCAGGTTATCTTTGCAGGTAATCTTTATTTAGCAAGACTTGGCCCCTTTTTATGTGCCTGATTGAGGCTAAAAATGAGAGAAGATACTTCTACCAGGGATGATACCTAAATTCTTCCACTCTTCCACAGCTGAACATACTGACTTGTGGAATCATTGGCTCTTATTCGGTGGTTTTGGCCGTTGATAGTTACTTGTACACGAGCCTTTCCTACATCACTTTGAATGTACTCAAGAGAGCGCTCAACACGGATTTCCACAGAGCTTTCACAAATGTGCCTTTTCAAACTACTGGTAAGTCTCTAAATCCAGCAACCAGAGTGATGTCAAATAGTCTTATGCTAACAAGAGCACGAGGTGCCTCAGATTGAAAGAAGTTTGACAAAAGGAGAAAACTCCATACAAATGCTGCTAGAGCCCTTTGTTAATGATAACTTATGATGGGGGCAAAGAATGTAAATTTGTATGTGGTTGAAGTTCATACTTCTAAAACATCTACTAATTGAACTTTGTTATGAAATTCTAAGCCACTATATTACTTAGGTTTCCCTGGTCAATTCCCAGTTGTGAGAAAAATGCTAAGAATAAAGCATTTCACACCTTATAGGTGGGGTGGGATGAGGGATAAGAATGATAATGTGATTTAATTTTTTTAGTTATTCCCTTTTTTCTCCTTTAATTAAGCACACAGTTTGCTAATTGAAAGTGAAAGTGAGTTTCAACCACTAAGTGTATTGTTTCCTCAGTTCAACACCAAAACTAAACCTGCTGCCGTTGAGTCAATTCCGACTCATAGTGACCCTATAAGGACATAGTAAAACTGCCCCGTAGGGTTTCCAAGGCTGTAAATCTTTATGGAAGCAAACTGCTTCAATTCTAAGATTCTGTTAAAAAATTTCCATTAATTTTTGAAGAAAAAAATGATTCCCACAAGGATTTGAAGATAGATAATATCTTGACTCAGAAATGTTACAATATGGAAGGTAAAAAGCCTGTCTTAGAATTGAAGATAATGTGGCATAAGCACAATTAGGACTGGTTTTTAGGACAGATCTTTCCCTGTGCTACCCTGAGCCTGCCCTCATTGGATAAGAGGTTGATGGTCCCCCAAAAAAACCAAACCACTTGCCATCAAGTCGATTGAAAGCCATAGCGACTCTATAGGACAGATGTTGATGATAAAGACCTTGAAATCCTCATCTGGGAAGTTTTAAGTACATGGCAGTGTTTTTGCCAAGCCTCCTACTTAGAAAAGCTCAGTTAGTCTGTTGACTCTGTTCATGCATTTCTGTCTCTGCTCTAAGTAAGTGGGGCAGGGCCCTTGCCAGCAGTTGCAGGAAGTTGTATCAGAGTCCCACTTAGTCAGAACCCTTCCCAGTGGAATGGGAAAGAGGCAAGTGTGGTGGCTTCTGATGCTCCATGATGTGCATATGTGAAGTATAACTAGATTCTGCCTTCTTCCCCACCCCCTCTGGAAAAACACAACAAACCACTGTGTTGTGGGCACTGGTAGTATGATGTTGGAATGCCAAGGATCCACACAACTTGTTTTACAACCTGTCTAAACTTTCAAATGTTTGTAACAGAAAAGTCCTACTAGTTTCAAGTGTAAGACTATAGCTTCCCCCACTCATTCCTTGGTTTATAAGTGAAGAAGTGTATGTGTGTGTGTGTGTGTGTATTTGGACTAATTCAACAGAAAGTCTGATCTTATTGAGAAAGAAACACACAAATTTAGGCCATGAAGTGTTAAAAGTATTAATTCTATGTTAGATTTTAAAATACAGAGTTGAAAATGTGCTGTTCTACTTTTTCTTTTTTAGACTTTATTATTCTGGCAGTATGGGGGATGCTGGCAGTAAGTGGAATTACATTACAGATTCGAAGAGAAAGAGGTCAACCATTTTTCCCTCCCCACCCATACAAGTTATGGAAGCGAGAGAGAGAGCGCAGAGTAACAAACATTCTGGACCCTAGTTACCACATCCCTCCATTGAGAGAGAGGCTCTATGGCCGATTAGCCCAGATCAAAGAGTTCTTCCAAGAGGAACAGTCAGCTGGAGAGAGAACACCTCTACTTCTGTAGATGCCCAAGGGCTTGCTCATTGTGATCTTGAAGTACAACTTGAGTGCTGTCTCAGCCATAGTGTTTATGCCCAGACTGCTTCAGTAAACACAACTCAAGTCTGATAAAAGAGCAGGCTTATATATGTGTATTTTACGTGGTATTATGGTCTCTTTATTGCTACATGGTAATAAAGTGAGACAGAGAAGGTCAAGAATTTGGTGATATGGAAGTTTTTTCTCATTTCAAAATGCTTGAGAAGTTACCTTTTGGTAAATTTTAAAATTTTGAAATTACCTTTTGGTTTACAAATATATGATTAACTTATTCCATTAAATAATAATAATAAAAAAAAAACCCAAACCTGCTGCTGTTGAGTCGATCCCATCTCATAGAGATCCTATAGGACAGAGTAGAACTGCCTTGTAGGGTTTCCAAGGAGTGGCTGGTGGATTCGAACTACTGACCATTTGGTTAGTAGCCAAGCTCTTATACATTTAAAAATGCATTAAAAAATAACAATATTATGATTCTCCTGCAGAACCCTGGTATTTCTTTTTATAACTCTGTGAACATTTCTCTCACCTGTCTAAACTTGGGAAGGAGGTGGTTTAAATGTTATACCGAATTTACACTGTGTTTTGAGCAAACCACTGTGTTATGGGTATTGGTAATATAATGTTGGCATACCAAGGATCCACATAACTTACTGGGTCTTTTATGGTTGTTGCATATACTTTGAGTTAACAACTATTTAAATTATGCTGCTTTTTATGGTTTTTTTTTCCCCCAAAGTACAAGAAATATTTGAAGTTTCAGGTTACTGGAAAATCTTCAACTTTTGCTTTTAAGAATATTTTCAGAAGGTTGTTAACAATGAAAAATAATTTCTGCCTTGAAAAATTATATGCAGGTGTTTACTATTTATCCTGTAATCACCTTCAGTAACACTTAAACTTGGAGAAAAAATGTTTTTTATAATTCACTGTAGGGACACTTCTACCGTATCTTTGTACATTCTAACAAAGTTATATGGAATGTTCTGTGAGTTAGTGTACCATCAAAATACACTGCCAGCAAAGACTGTAAAGCAGGACACACTTTTTGTGGGGGGGAAGATACAAATTGTTTAAAATTTTCATAATGTTAAGTTGTAAGTAATAAAACGGCAGTTTGTATAATTTTGATAATAAATATTTTGAAAGAAATGTAAAAAAGCCTCATTGTAAAATTTTTATAAAATTGTTTACCAATTATATTGGTACCATAGCAATAAGATGTGTGAGAAGAGTTTTATAACTATAGAAATAAAATTTAAGCTGGAAAAAAATTATAGTTCTTTCAATTTAAGTGTAATTGAAATAATAGAAAGTGAAGGAAATCTGGGGCAGTGTGTTAAAATTTATATTGGTGTCATTAGTACTTCGGGTGTCAAACTGAAGAAAAATAGTAGCATAGGAAGAGCTGTTATACTATTTAAATGTTTTAAAAAGGTTCTGATTAACCTGATACGGGTTAGCAACCAGCTTGCCAAACCACAGCAGCTAACCAGTGCTATAGGCCAGTTGAGTGTTCTGTAGAACGTGGGATTGGAAAGCTGATTCTAACAAAGAAATTGCTAGAATATTAGGCCTGGGGAGGTTGGCAGGTCTGGACCAAGCCACAGTATAAGAAACAAATTTAAAAAATATATATATATATAATGTAGTAGTCTTTGACTGGGATTCTGCATTTATTCATTCAGAAAAAAACCCAAACCCATTGCGATTGATTCTGACTCATAGTGACCCTATAGGACAGAGTAGAATTGTCCCCATAGAGTTTCCAAGGAGTGTCTGGTGGACCTGAACTGCTGACCTTTTGGTTAGCAGCCGTAGTACTTAATCACTGCGCCACCAGGGTTTCCATTTATTTATTCAGTATGTATTTATTGAGCTCCTATGTGCTGATACTGCTTTGGACACTGACACTAGGAAGATGGTGAACAATATAGGCATGGCTCTTGCTCTCAGGGCTTACACTGTAATGAGACACTAAAACAGTTACACAGAAGAGGTACAACATGCAATGAAAATTTATAGTGGTACGGTGGGAGGGTGGAATCTCGGATGCTGGGGAAGAATGTGTCCGGGCATAGACCAGTGATGTGAAACTTGCCTCCCAAAATGGAAGGTGCCAAAAGACCGAAGAAAGAGGTGGGCAATTCCAGTGTGGCAGCAAAGGAGTTTATTAGGGAGAATTTCAGACGAGGTGAGTCCTGGGTGGCTGCAGGACCAAACCAGATCTCTGCACCCTGCAGTGGGAGGGCAGAGGTTTTATAGTGGTGGTGGATAACAGTGGCTACAAACCAGGGGCTTACGTAAGAATGACTCAGCCAACTGTAGTGAACTACATGAGAGAACTCATGTTCGGCCTCATGAAGTCTATTTCCCTCAGATGCCTTCAGGAAATGATATTTAAGCCAAGGCCTGGAGGATGAGTAGGAGCAGCCAAACGAAAATAGGAGTAAACTCTTCCCTTCTCATTATGGAGAGACTTAGCAACTGGAAAGATGGAGCTGTCATCAGCTGAGATGGGGGGAGTATGGAGAGGTGTTGGCAGTAAGACTGGGAGGTCAGCTTTGGATAGCTTAAGTTTGAGATGTCTCTTTGACATCTAAGTGGCTATGTTGAGACCACAGCTGGGATGAGTTTGGAGTTAATGAGAGAGGTCTGTGCTGGAGCTGGAAATTTGGGAGTCATGCAGCATACAGGTAGTATTTAAACTCATGAGATTAGGTGAGATCACCAAGGAAGTGAGTATAGATACAGGATAGGATAGGAATCAGGAATGAGCCCTGTGGGTCTCTAATGTTAAGAGGTGAAAGAGAAGAGCAAAGGAGACTGAGAAGGAGCAGCCAGTGAGGTAGGAGGAAAATGCCCCCTCACATTCCAATTTGAAATTATTCTTCATCAATATTTCACTAAAAAATGTACTTGTTTCACTATGACAGTCAAAAAGGGTAGTAATCACAAAAAATTAAGTTATGGATCTGTGATCTTCCATTTATCATTGAAGCAATTCAGAAATAAAATGTGGAAGTCATCTTGATATTAAAGAATACGTGAATTTGAAAAGAAAGCATTTTATCTGTGAGACTGCATATTTTTAGAATTGTATTTCTGTATATAAAATAAAAAAATAATAGTTGATGATAAGAAAAATCAGCAATAAGTTGCTGGCCAATTACTAAGAAATATGGAGAGAGGCTGTTGTGAATACTAGTTTTGTGGTAAAGAGACAAAATCGTTAAAAATAAACTGTAAGACTCAGCATTGTTTTCAAATTGTAGACTGTACTAAATTTTAATCACTCATCTTTATTGATAAAATAGTTGCCTGTGCAGTACATACTCCCAGACATAAATTTAAGCTTCTGCTTAAGAAAAACAAAAACAAAAGGTATGGGATGGAAAACTGTTGCTACATAACAAAGTAAATGTCTTTAAAACACCAAGACCTTAAAAATTACATCCAAGCAAGAAAACCAAGAATAAATTAACTCTACTTATTTGTTTACAAAAATAATTATCAAGTAATGTTTTATAGTAGAGCTGCCTCAATGAATTGCCTCAGACTGAATCTCAACTGTGTAGCTTATTTTCTTTAATTCTCACTTGGGATAAAAACTATTTGAATGAACTGCCATCAAATTAAGGGATATTTTCTAAAAAGCCAATAGAAAAGTTTAAAAATAAAAAGTCACTTATTTATAAAATATCAATTAAGGCCTCTGAATGAGAAAAGAAATCTATTTAATGTTTGGGCCATTAGCCTTTTTCTATTCAGTCAGCCCTGTCACCCCTTTTCCCCCAAACATAAGATAGAAAAATTCTGAAGTGAAAAGTAGCTTTGAATATTAGCAATATATGAAATTATACATAAAAATTACCACGTGAAGGCATATTTCTTTAACAAATTATACATTCAAAGGTAGAATTTTCTATTTGTGCTAATTTTAATATTTAATATAAATGAATACTGCATTGTTATGCAAATAACGCACACCTTCTATGTTTGTTTACCAACCACACCCTACCCCTCCGCAAGGTATTTCCATAGGCGCGCCGCCAGCCAATTTTTTTCCACATTGCTGTAAAAAAAAATTAGCATGGTATGCTTACCTCAGGGGGGCATGGCTGGCAAACAAACATAGAAGGCGTGTGTTATCTGCATAAAAATACAGTGTATTTAAGCTTATTTGACACTCTTATTCTTTTTATTCTGCAATAAACACAAAATAAGAAAACTTTAGGTTTCAACTGATGTTAAAGCACATTTCTGTACTTAGTGGTCTTTTAAAAATTGATCTACAGAATATTGATATTTTGTTAAAAAAAAAAAATCCATAGATTTCTACCCCCCTGACTAGAAAAATTGTAAGAAAAATCTTATAAGTTATGAGGACCAAAAATTTTTTGAAATTATAATTTACTTTTTCTGTTAGTATTTCTTAAGAGTAATTACTTAAAAAAGAGTAAAGGCCAGGGGAATTCCCAATTTACTATGACATTACCATACTCAGCATGCTATATCAAACATTTGAACTCTGTTAGCTAAATAAGCTACATAATAGCCTTAAAGATCAACCAGAGAAGAAAAAAATCTCGTCTTCATTATTGACTTAGAACCAAAACTTTTTCTTTCAGAGTAGTTTAACCTACTAAATATGTCTCTTAAAAGATCTTCTTTCTTAGAAAGTAGTATTCCTCCTCTTTCATTCCTGAAATATTTCATACACTAAACTAAGTTAAGGAAAATTGTTAGCTAAGTATCAATTCGGGTAAATTAGCTAAAATTAAATCACTTGTTTATGGTGAGTATAAAACATTCTTAAAGCCTTTAAAGCAATTTTCTTTGACAAAAATTTAAATTAACGGGAAGGTGGACAGGCAATCACTAAAGCTGAAGTCTTACAGTACATAAGCCATTTGTTAACTCTGACACCAAACAGGAAGGCTAAAACTTAGGATGAGGATCTATTCACAAAGCCATGGCATAAATTTATATTTTTAAAATGAAATAATTCTATAAATTCCCAAGCACTTACTGGAAATATTCAAGTTTACCCAAATATCATCCAGAACTAGCCAAGAGCACTGATGAAAGCTCTCTACACTCAGCAGTCACTGTGAAAACCCATTATCTGTTCATCAGTTGTAAATAGCTGAACTTCTCCCTTTCGATTATGTTTTGGAATAAAGTCAATGACCATTATATATGCATTTTTTGTTGCTATCTCTTAAAAATGTCATTGCCAGTGTACTGTAAATTGTGTGTGTGTGTGTGTGTGTGTGTGTGTGTGTGTAAAATAAAAGGGTTGACTGAGATTGATTGTTCTGTGACTCAGTCCATTCATTTAGTAGGCCAGTCCCAGTGACCGTTTGGAGCCATTTAAGAGAAGCTCTTCAGCTCTTCCTCAGACTCAGGTCACTATTGGTCACTAATGCTGACAAAGACGTACTTTCCGATACATCATCTTTTCTAAGGTTCAAAAATGATTCTCGAGTTATCTGAAGGATCTCTCTCAAGCCTTTGTTTTCTTGCTATAAGAAGGCAAACAAAAAGATGCAGTCACCAAGGTAGTCATGAGAAGAGTACATACATGTCTTAATAAAAAATAACAAGGTGTGACAAAAATCAAGTTCTATAACTGTCATAAATGTACTAAGGGATATATGCAGTTAATAACTTGAATCCAGACAACTCTTTTTTAAGGACGGTGAAGTCATACGGAGCTCTGGTGGGGCAGTGGTTAAGAGCTCGGCTGCTAACCAAAAGGTGAGCAGTTGGAATCCCATGGGGCAGTTTTACTCTGTCCTATAGGGCGCTATAAGTTAGAACCGACTCAGTTGCAATGGGTTTCATTTTTTTAGGAGTCATATGTTCAACATCTCCCACCACGCTAAAGACTTATTTGTGCATTTGTAATTATAGATGGAATCTCAGAAATTGTTTTAGTTATAATCACATTATAGATGAAGAAATTAACATCCAAGTTGATATTTATTTAAATGCATAAAGCCAGTGAATGATACCCTGGGACTAGAACCTCTTAGTACTTTACTACTTTTAGCACTTTCCTTAATAGCATGGAATGTAGAATAAGCCACCTGGTTTGCTTCCCTTACTGGAATCTGAGAGCAGAAGGGCTGGCTGAGTAGACTGGTATTTTTAAGAAGCAAAATAAGTGATCAAATCTGTCATTGGTAAACAATTTTGCCTTAATTTTTTCTAGATTAGTTACTGTAGGAAATTTGCAGACAGTTAAAAAATAACCTTTTATAAGTATTCTCTACCACTCTGTCTACAGTCTCATTTTCTAAGTTTCAGTGGTATAAAGCAGGAGTCAGAAAACTATGCCCTGGTCCTATTAGTGACCTGTTTTTATAAATTAAATTTTATTGGAACATAGCCATGCCTATTCATTTATTATTGTTTATGCCTGCTTTTGTGTTATATCAGCAAAAGCTGAGTAGTTACAACAGAGACTGTTTGGTTTGCAAAGCCTAAAATAATTATTATCTGGGCCTTTACTGAAAGAGTTTGCCAACCCCTACTTTAAAAAAGGGGAAACATTGTATGCTGAGAGAGAAATCATGCTTTGGCCCTCTATAATTTCACCACCATGGTTTTAAAATGTAGCTTTTAAAGCATAGAAAGTCTATTTTATTAAGTTATTCAACAATGATTTGTTCCTCTGCTATCACAAAATAAAGAACATATGAGACAAAAAGCTTTATATTCCCCAAATAAGAGTGCAAAGAACATTATCTGTGGATTAAAATTTTTTTCTCTGCATCGTCGATCTCTAATGGAATGAACAAATAAAAGGATTTACAAAACTGAAGAAGTATACTCATCTGACAAGATAAAGCAATATAGGATCAGAAAAATCAGTTATCTCAATTACTGATATATTATAAATTACTTCTGATATCAGACTCTTGCATTATTATATAAATAAAGCCCGTTGCCGTTGAGTCAGTTCTGACTCACAGTGACCCTATAGTACAGAGTAGAACTGCCCATAGGGTTTCCAAGGAGCAGCTGGTGGATTTGAACTGCCAACCTTTTGGTTAGCAGCCTGAGCTCTTACCCACTGTGCCACCAGGGCTCCACTATATAAATAGTCTTGCATTATACACCCATGTAACCTAGCATCCAGATTAAGAAAAAGAACATTACTAGTATCCCAGAGTATATGTATTTTTTTAAATGGGATATACTTTCTGGCCTAAGTCTTTGCATAGACAGTTTTCATCTATATTTGCATTTTAAAACTTACTTCAAGTTGAAATATTCGTTCCTGTTCCTTGCAACCCTGCTGTTCATCAATTTCAATGGCTTTCCTCATTACTGCTGCCATTTCAGTTATTTGGTCAACATGTGCTTGTAATTCCTGAAAAATAAAGGGTGGGAGTTGCAAATCAGTGAAATACTTTTGAGTCTTTTTAAAAAAAATCTGTATTGCCACTTAAAATAAATGTTAAGACTCTTACAAGATATCAAACAGATATTTACATGAAAGTCAGTTGAACATGAATGTGCTTTTGAGCTAGGATTTCAGTTAGGACCAGAATTAAGGATAAACACCACAATACAACTAAACCCAGTAACAAGAAAAGTACTAATGATCATTCTTTGCATTCCTTTCATCACATGTGATGAGCAACTTTTTCTTTCTGCATCTACATTTACTATTGGTCAAGGTAATGGGAAAGATAAAAATTGTTGACACAACCTCTCTTCCTCCCTGAAGTCTTGATTTACAAATCTTCTCTGTATTATCCATGCCTGTAAATTAATCTCAATCCAATCTAGAATTTTTCTAGATTATAATTATCTTTGAGAGCAGAAACTGTATCTTCTTTATAATATCTGCCTATTACTTAGTGTTTGGTACATAATAGGTAAAAAATAGAGTAAAATGAACAAAATTCTTCTATTAATATTAAAATATTAAAGGGCCTTCTTTGTAAACAGTTCAAAATATAATTCCAGTATAATATAGACATCTACATTTCTTTGATGCAAGTAGCACAAATTTCTTCCAATGTCATTCCCTCATTCTTTTTGCACACCTGCAATATGCCAGGCACTGTGCCAGGCAATTAAGTCTGTTCAGATATATTCCTAAGGAGCTTACAGTCTATCGAAAGAGACAGACAAAAAAATTGAAAATAACAAACTTGAAAATAATTATTATCTTCTCAACAACTTCTACAGATCATTATTCACTGGCAATCAAGGGATATTACATTAAGGCCAAAACTTCATAAATAACATTAAGTGTCTTAAATAGTTATACATACTCTTTATTTGTAAAAAGGGTTTAAACAGGGCCCAAAATAACACAAAACTAGTAAACTATGAAAGAAATATGATGGGGAAAAATATGAGTATCTTTAACAAACCACACATTCAGTGTCTTCTTAACCAACAAAAATGCAAGCCCTTAGGCTAGTATTATTTGAAACCTATACAATGCTAGTATGCAGGGGGCGGGGAGGGGGAAGGAACAATAAAGCACTTAGTCTGCACTGTCCAATATGGTGGTGCTATTTAAATTTAACTGAAATCAGATACGATTTTTAAAAAATTAAAATTCAGGCCCTCAGTTGCACTAGCCACATTGCAAGTGCTCAATAGCTACATGTGGCTAGTGGCTTCTACATTGGACAGCACACATTCAGAATATTTCCATCATTGCAGACAGTTCTGTTGGACAGACAAGATTAGATTATGGCAGCAAGAATTAAGACAAACACTTGCCATATTATGCAATGGTTAAAAAAAAAAAAATCATTAAAATCCTTCCCACTGTAAAGGAGCCAAAATTTTAAAAGCAAGTAAGTTTAAAAAAAAACCTGCAGCAGCAAACTGAATAAGGGTAATGAGGAAAAAATTTGAATACCAACAGCTTTCTTAATTTAACCTATAGTACTGAACTAAGTTAAAAAACTACATAGGAAGCAAATAATTCTTTGCCTTCAAAATGGAGGGAAACAAGATACCACTAATTTTTTCCAGGACAAAATCATCATGAGTAGGAAAAAAACAACAACAACAAACAAACCAAAAAGACTCTTCTGAGTAGAACAGTTAATGGTTCACTGATGAAAATAACCTCTTTAGACACGGTTCACAGATCTTTTAATGGGCACAAGAGGCCTGTGCTTTAAAAACTGATGTAAAGGCAAGACGTGTCAGCAGCAAAACCCTTGAACTGTCTTGAAATGTCTTTCATTTTGAATTCTGTCTAGGTTTATTTCTACTTTCTGTAATAAAGACCTGTCACAACCGAGAAAAAAAATGAAGACACTGGCAAGAGCACTACTATACTTAATCATACCATCTAAACAAAGGTATTTTTATTTTATTTGTGAACTCATTAAACTAAGGGACTACAAACTATTAAAAATCTGAATTGAACAATTTCATTTAATAGTCTGACTGATCAAAATTTTTATAAAATCAGACTAAAATTACTGCCAAGAACATAGCTTTGATGTCCCAGAAAGAGAATGACTTTAAATTTTAAAGATTACTAAAATTTCACATCAACAGCCAACAAGAGCAAATAAATGAAAAGTTGGGCTAAACAGCCTTTAAAACCTGCAATTATCTAACAAGCTGTATATGATACAATAAACAGAGAATTAATTGACAGATTTAAAGTTTCTACATTGAATATTTTCACTTGGTTTTGACAAGCACAGCATTCTTTTAATTGATTATGTTTATTCCCTAATCTAACCTGGGAGGGAGATTGAATGTAAAAGAACTTTGTTAAAATGGACGCCCCCCTTCCATCCACACCCCAAAAGTTGACTGTTTTATTTTGTGTACATTCTGATTAGCTTCCAAGTGCCTCCTCTCCAGTCCATGTTGAGGTGCTTCAAGGATGTGTCGAGATGCATCAAGGAAGAATCCTTCGGAGATGTTACGATGTACCATGTCAATCTGTAGTACAGAGTCATTATAATGTTAATACGGACATTATCCGTAATTTAAAAACTGAATGAGTGTTAGTTCATGCGTGTTAGCCAATTGTATGAAATGTTTGTTTTTTTAACATTTCCAAAAAGGCATCTGTTCAAAAATAGTGTAAAAATGAATATTTGACAGATACTGAGTTTTTTTCAAAATTTCTTCTGATTTTTAAATGTGTGCTAAAAAACTTCAAGGTGAGGGCAAAATTCTATACTACTGTAGTCTCCAAAGGGGACTTTAAAATGCTTTACTTTTAAAATGCTTTTTACTTCAAAATGCTACTAAGGAATGTAACTAAGTATGTTTGTTACCTCTAAATGTGCTAAAAATTATTTTTGTGTTTAGGAATATCAGCATACTAGTTCCTAAACACTTTCTGGAATTTCATACTTCTATGCCTTTATCATATAAGTGTCTATTCTCAACCACTTCTGCTTATTGACCCCCCCAATAATTAATTTAAGGCTGGATTTAAATGGCTTTTTTTCTCTGACACTTTCCCAGATTCTTCCCATGAGAATTAATCTTTCTTCCCCCACTGCAGTAAGACAATTCATATTGCTGTTATAGAATTTATTAAATCCTACCTTATATTAGACAGTTATATTTGTGTCGGTATCTTGCATTACACTATAAGCTCCTATGGCAGAGTAATGCAATTTATTCATTCATCTTATTATTACCCATAATAACTAACCCAGTGCAAGTGTTAATAAATATTTGTTTAATTGAGGCGAAGTGTCTCCTTTTTGGGAAAAATCAAAATCACAAACATTAATATGTATTAGTGAGAATTAATAACAAGTAACTGAACAGTCATTTTATCGAAGGCAAGGATCAGCACTTAGATGACGAATTCAACCCACATAATGAAAGGAGGTGGTTTACAGCTATTTTAGAAAATGTACAACTTTGCTAATTAATAAAACAGTTCTGGTGAATGTTAAAATCTAGTGATGTGTTTTAGAAAACATTTGCTTGTGTCAAGCTGCTACCAGATAGGGAAAGCAAGCAGTAGTATCTTAATTTTTTTTTTTTTAACCAGGGTATTCTCCCCTTCATATCTTGTATTTTTATTCCTTAGATTCTTAAACATAAGAGTCTTTTGCAATTTCTCAATGTTACATTTATCTTACTAATAATTTTAAGTCAATTCATATTTATACCTTCAAAAAAGCACTGTTAACTATACATTTAAATTTAAATGTTTTTACAATGATCTAATTAACAATAGATATATTTTATGTTCAAAAGTTTTGCCACTTAAAAAAAAGACCAGACTTACTGGTCTGACAGAGACGGGACCAACCCCGAGAGTATGTACCCTGGACACCCATTTAACTCAGTAGTGAAGTCACTCCCGAGGTTCACCCTGCAGCCAAAGATTAGACAGGCCCATAAAACAAAACAAGACTAAATGGACACACTAGCCCAGGGGCAAGGACTAGAAGGAAGGAGGGGACAGGAAAGCTGGTAACGGGCAACCAAAGAGAAGGGGAGAGTGTTGACACATTGTGGGGTTGGCAACCAATGTCACAAAACAATATGTGTATTAACTGCTTAATGAGAAACTAATCTGCTCTGTAAATCTTCATCTAAAACACAATAAAAAAAAAAAGTGCTGCCACTTAAATATCGAAGGATTTCCTTTAGGTAAGGGTGCTGAATAGCATAACTAAACAATATTAAACCCATATTTATTTATTATTTTACTAGTTAACACAAAATGTGCCTACTACTAAGTTTCTTAATACGGAAAGTCATACAAAGAGCTAGTTAATTTACTAGGTCTTGAATTCTAACAGAATTAATAATTAATTTAAAAACACCTATTAGCACCATGATGGAGCCCGGGTGGCGCAGTGGTTAAGAGCTATGGCCACTAACCAAAAGTTCAGTAGTTCGAATCCACCAGCTGCTCCTTGAAAACCCTATGGGGCAGGTCTACTCTGTCCTACAGGGTCGCTATGAGATGGAATTGACTCGACAGCACTGGGTTTGGTTTGGTTTCGTAGCACCGTGATTGAAGAAATATTTTAAATAATCTGAATGTATCTGAAATAAAAATATGCCTTATACTGATTACTATTTCTTAAACAGTATTAAAATTATAACTAATAATAGTTAGCTTACTACTATCCAATACAGATAATGGCCTAGTTACCATCACAATCTATTCCAATATTTTTATTTCACAGCAGCAGTTAAAATGTAGTTTAAAAGAAAACATAAATGGGAAAGGATTTTTCTATTCGTCTTCACAGCAGCTGCCAGCAAACACAGGGACATATACAAACGGAACAGACACAGGGATGACAATAAGTAAGATCAACAACAGAAAAGCCACTAATTTTTAACCACGTTAGCGTGGTCTCTAAAATGGTATTAACTGGTGTTCGATGGAGAAAGAGGGAGCAAAATTTTAATATGCTGGTTCTTTTTCCTCTCCCCAAATCCATGATCTTCCCATTATAAACAGAATAATTTATAATTCGGAAGAATTAGTCTCATTCAGAAAATAATCTTTAAAAAAATCAACATTTAGCTGCTTTCAGATTTTAAAAAGTATTCAGTATTTTTTGTTTTTGCAACAGATATCAAAACGAATTTATTAAAAGAAATATTTCTTAAAAGCAGATAACATTACAAAAATAATTTTGAAATTGAACAGACTTACCGATACTTCCCAAATAAAGTTCATGTTTGAATATCTATGAAAGCTACTAGAGAACAATGGTAGTTAGAAAAGGATATACCACAAAAAAGAATGGAATAAAACAGAAAAGGTCAGTTAAAAAGATAGAGTATTTCAACAGCATGTTTAAATGGCATTACTAGACAACTGTGATTTTTCTTTTTTTAAATCTGAACACAAGTTAACCTATTGTCCCTTGTTTCCATTTCAAGTTATATTTATAGAATGGATTACCTTGGAGTGCTGCTCTTTTAGCTTCATTATTATACCTGGATCATCTTTTTTGCTTGCCATTAGCAGTCTGAACATTTGTTCTCGATACTTGCTCATTATAAGTTCCAAAGCAGACTGATGCTCTTCCAGGGATGTACGCAATTCTATCAAAAATAACAGTATCAAACTTGTGTTAAAGGTACACAAATATTCTTTTCCATATTAAATTTAATTTCTAATAAAAGCAACTTAAATAAATAAAGTATTTATTTAAAAAAACATGGTACAAAAATCTAGCCATATAAAAATAAAGGATACCAAATCATGTCCCTTAAATGACCATTTTAACTCATTTTTTTGAGAATCATTTCAACAAACATTTACTGAAGAGCAATTAAGTATCATACAATGTTCTGTATTAGGAATATCAAACGGCCATGGAGCTCAGAGTCTTGTAGAGAAAAAAAGAGAATTACATATAATTATAAATAACTATAATACAACGTAGTACATACAGACCAGAACTCTACTAAAATACATATAAGGGAAATTTGTGGAGAGAAACTGGTGAAACCTTCACAGAAGTATAATACTGAGATGATCTTGAGTTCCCTGAAGAGAAAAAAGAAGGAAAGAGCATTCCAGGTAGGGAGGTACAAAAGAGGATGACATGTTTAGGACCTAGTTTGGGATGGCAAGAGCAAAGGGTTCACAGAGAAGAGCGCTAAGGGGAGAAACAAGAAAGGAAGGCTGGAGATTGAATAACTCTGTGTAAGGAAATAAGGATACAATGAAGGTTCTTAGGCATAAGAATATCTTCATCAGATTTATTTTTAAAAAAGCCAATCTGATACTTCTGTTGAAGATGGGTTGAAGAGAGAAAAGAGGCTGGAATCAGGCAGAACATATAGGAACGTGTACGCAAGAGAATATGACCATCTAAACTGGGGGACAAAGCAGTGGGCATGGAGAATAACCTTGAATTATTTCATAGGTAAGAACAATAGGGCAAATTGGATAATGAGGATGAGAATCCAGAATGATTCCAATGAAGACAAACACTGATATACAGGACAAAATAAAGAGCAATCAATGTGATACAGGCATATGGACTAGAAATGGGATTAATGTCAAAAGTAACTTTTGATAGCTGGCTGTTTTTCCAGTTTTTGAAAATATCAACTGGTCCTAAACACAGGCTGGTTCCAAACATACAGTCAGTTTCATTTTACATTTAACAAAGAAGTCTAATTTCATATGAATAGTACAACTGCAGATTATAGAGTTCTTGTTTGATTTACTATGAATAGTAACTATATATCTTGCCTTTGTTTTCCTGTTGTAATTCTCTGATTTGTCTGTTTTCTTGCTGGATTCCCATAACTAATGTGGACCGTGGTCGGTGTCTTGCAACTTCATTAAGTTCTTGAATTTCTTCCTGGTACTAATGAAAAGATTACAAAAGAACATTTGGGGAGAAAATATTTGCAAATCATGTACCTGATAAAAGTCTAGTATATAAAGAATATATAAAGAACTCATAACAATAAAGACAAATAACCCAATTAGAAAATGGGCAAAGGATTATTAATAGACATTTGTTCAAAGAAGGTATAAAAATGTCCAATAAGCACATGAAAAGATGCTCAACATCTTTCATTAGTCATTAGGAAAATGCAAATCAATGCAACAATGGGATTCTAATCGACAACCACTAGGATGGGTACAATCAAAAAGATAATAACAAGCGTTGGAAAGGTTGTAGACAAATTGGAATACTTATACAATGCTGGTAGGAATGATTGTAGCTGCTCTGGAAAACAGTTTGGAAGTTCCTCAAAAAGTTAAACATCGAATTACCATATAACCCCACAATTCCACTCCTAGGCATATACTCCAGAGAACTGAAAATATGTTCTCACAAAACCTTGTACATGAATGTTCATAGCAACATTATTCATAATAGTCAAAAAGTGGAAAAAACTGAAATGTCCATCAGCTGATGAATGGATAAACAAAATGTGGTATATCCATAAAATGGAATGTTAATCAGCATTAAAAAAAAAAAATGAGTAGTAACATATGCTACAACATGGATAAGCCTTAAAAACATTATGCTGTGTGAAAAAAGCCAAGCACAAAAGGTCACACATGATATAATTCCATTCATATGAAATGTCTAGAATGGGTAAATCTACAGAGACAGAAAGATTAGTGGTTGCCAGGGATTGTGTGGAGGGGGGGAACAGGGAGTGACTGCTAATGAATGGATACTGGGTATTTTCAGGGGGAGAGGAAAATTTTCTAAAATAAGATAGTGGTTATGGTTGTACAATCTTGTGCATACACTAAAAACCACTGAATTGTACATTTCAAAAGGGTGAATTTTATGGTATGTGAATTATATCTCAATAATTAAAAAAGAACATTTACAAAAGAAATGCAAAATTATTTAGCATTGCAGTTTTTTTTTCCCAAATAAATGAGACTCTAAAACTGCACTTCTTTATTTTCAAGCCATTTTAATGAGCCATTCAGTAATGCATTCATTATAACATTCCTGGTTCTTGTACCTTCAGATGTCAAACTTTTTTTTTTTTTTTTAATAATTCAATACCAGATATAACTTCATTGGAGTGTCTGAATCAAGCTGGACAGTTAGGGAGGAATGTAATCTGTTTAGGTCAACACATTTGCAAAACAAAAGAAATAAACTTCCTCCACTATTCCCAATAGTTTTGTTAAAAGCAGTATCCCAGGACGGCTTCCTTTTATAAAATGTATGAGTTTCAATAGAGTTGACTGTGGAACATACATTTTCCCCCACTGAATTCCATCATAATGTCAGAGATTTTATAATTCTCTTAAAGTTAAAAACTTGTATCAGTGGAGGGTTTAAAAGATGGCCCACTGGAAGTTGTGAAGTACAACAATGAGTAAGCACGGCAAGAAGTGAAGCCCTCTTCAGTTCTTCTTTAATTGGCAGCATTAAATAAATAGGAAGCAAGCAGGGATGCAATAGCTGCACAAAGTGTAAACCAGATATTGTCTTGCATCGTTTTCAAAAACCATTTTTTTTGTTAAACAGCATTACCTAAGTACTTTTACAAAGAAAAAATGTAAATATTTCTATATTGTGAAAATATGTAACAATGTCAACACTAGTAAAAGGTACGATCTGGCTTTTGTCAAATGTATTCAGACCTAACAAATTCATTTTTTTTCTAAACTCAAATGCGTATCTGTTAGAAAATAAGTGGTCAAATCTACAGGTTCAAAATATATATACACACACACACACACACATATATATCACCTAAACATAAGAAAATCATGCTCTAAAGTAAAACTGGAATATGCAAGTTAGGCTACTTCTGAATTTCAAAGAACACTGAAAATATAACTAGATAATAATTAAGCAGCAATTTATGATTCAAGCAATACATAATTACCAATGACTGCTTTTTATTAAATGGAACAAACAAGAAAGAAAATTGAACCTGTTTCATTGCTTCTACTCGCTTGTTGAGAGCAGTGGTTTGCTCAATAAGAGATTCTGCAGCATCATCATGATCTCTCAATCTTTCAACAAGGGCTTTAGCATCAGCAAGCGCCTTCTCAATTGTGCAACTCATTTCTAAAGGAATATCTATAAAGTTAAAATCAGGACTCAAAACAAAGTCAACATGTCATTAGTCTCATATTAACACAGATGCTTCTTAAACTACATTTGTTACAGTACGTAAGACAATTTCAGAAGCCTTCATTTAGGGTTACGTTAAACAAAGATTCAAAATTGTAAACTAAATAAAGATAAAAAAATAAACTTAAAACAAGGTTTAAACAGTATTCTGCGGTAGACCCAACAGCTGAAGCAAAGAGAATATTGTCCTGTTTTTTATAAGTGGGTTCAAACCTGAATTAGGGGATTTAATCAGAATAAATTAAAATATAAAACTGTCAATTTAGAAAATAGCCAGCAGGTGACTAGGCATTTCTAGAGACCTTTAAGAAGTAAGCAATCTGGAAATTAATATAATTTCTTGCTATGTAAATAAAACTACCAAAAAGGGCTGTATTCTAAGATATGGGAGCTATAAAAAACCCAAAACTGTTGCTGTTTCGTAGATTCCGACTCACAGCGACCCTACAGGACACAGCAGAACTGCCCCATGGACTTTCCAAGGAGAACCTGGTGGATTCGAACTGCCAACCTTTTGGTTAGCAGCTGTAGCTCTTAACCACTACGCCACCACGGTTTCTTTGGGAGCTACAGATAAGGGTATTTGTAAATATGACAACGAATAGCCTATATCGGCTAAAACACACGACAGCGATCCAAAATCTGCCTAAAGATGCTCCTCCAAGGGAGACGTTAGTACCCAACAACGCCCTATCCGTCCTCTAAACTTCCGTGGGGAATTATCTATATAGATGGACAACTAATACAACTTTCTTGCTTATATCTCTGATTAATTATTCTATTATAGAACACCCGATTCTTCAGAGTAAAATTTTAAAGTTTTTTGTAAAGCAAAAAAGGGCAAAATGACTTACAAGTAAAAAATTTAGAAACATAAAAAAATGTCATAAAAATGGTTGAGCAAATGGTGAAAGAAGATAATAAGAGACAAATTTGAGTTTAAACTGTAAAAGATGAGAGAAAATAAGCAACTTTATTTACCTTGGTTTAGTAGAATAACTCAAGTAGTGGCAATCTGTAATAGTTCTAGGACTCAACCTGTAAATGATAATTTTGGGACTGCTATCAGAATACATCTTTTTTTTCCTCTCTGTAATCCAACATCTACAAATTTAATAAATAGGCTCTGCTTCCAAATACACTGAGACTCCTACATATGATCAGAGAGCTGATCTAGGCACTATTAATTCCAGAAGTTACCCACCCCCCCTCAGCCCAGAAAAACAAACCTATGCTCCCAGAAACCCTGGACATAGATTAATTGGAACAGAGCCCTGATAGATTCTTCTTAGATAATTATAAATTTTTTTTATACAAACATGAAAAGAATTTGGTCTTTCTCCCTAGCTCATGGGAGGTAATTTCTAAACCTTTGGAATTTCACCAGTGATTGAAGTCTTTGTTATTCAGAGGGGAGCTCCAGACCACACTTGCCTAACAAGTAATGCTAAAGGGGGGTTGGCCTCAGGGGAAGGGGGCTGAAGGTTGAGTTCAACGACTTGGACAATGATTCAATCAATCATGCTTACATAATAAAGTCTCAATAAAAACTCTGTACACTAGCTCAGAGAGCTTCCTGGTTGGTGAAAAAACATCAGTGTTTGTGAGGGTGACACATCCCTTTTTGGGACACGGAAGCTCCACACTGAGGACCCTCTCCGATCTCGCCCTATGTGTCTCATTTTCCTGGTTGGTGAAAAATTATCAGTGCTTGTGAGGGTGATACACCCCTTTTTGGGACACTGAAGCTCCACATTGGGGGCCCTCTCAGATCTCACCCTATGTGTCTCATTTGTATTATTTTTGCTATAATAAAACTATAATCATAAGTATAGTGTTTTCCTGATTTCTGTGTCATTTTAGCAATTTATGGAACTGAGGGGGTAATGAGAATCTCTGAATTTGTAGTCAACAGGTCAGAAGTGAGAGGGGCCCTGGGAACCCCCAAGCTTACAGCCGGCATCCTGAGGTGGTAGTTGTTGTTAGGTGCTGCCTAATTGATTTTCGACTCATACCGACCTATGTGAGAGAGAACTGCCCCATAGGATTCTCTAGGCTGTCACCTTTATGGAAGGAGCCCTGGTGGCACAATGGTTAAGCACTCATCTACTAACCGAAAGGCTGGCAGTTCAAACCCACCAGCTGCTCAGAAGAAAAGACCTAGCAATCTGCTGCCATAAGGATGGCAGCCTAGAAGAACCTATGGGGCAGTTCTACCCTGTCATATAGGGTTGCTATGAGTCAGAATCAACTTGATGGCACACAACAACAACAATCTTTAAGGAAGCAGATCGCCAACTCTTTCTCCCACAGAGCCGCTGGGTGGGAAATTCCAAGTTTATAGCCATCAGGTCAGAAGCGAGAGTGTCACGAGAATCCTTAAGCTTACCGCTGGCGTCTGAAGTCTTGGGCAGACGTGCACTCTGGACGACCGTGCCCTTTAACTTGTGAGATATGAACTAGCTGTGGTGGTTAGGGTCAGAGAAGTACTGCATTTGCAGTTGGTATATTTAGAGTTAGAGTTGGTGTTTGCTACAGAAGGCACACACACAGGCAGCCAATACAGTAGGAAATACAATCGAACAGTATTTTAGCTGTTATGAGAATTGTGGTTTTTCAACAGGGGACTCTTCCAACTCATCTGTAATATAAACATACTACTACTAGTACATATACCTAAACCACAGAGAGGCAGCTCTATAAAATCCATTTGGAAATATTTAAAAAGTCCTTTATAAAAAATGTTTAGCCCTTAATGTTTTTAGTCCTCTCAAAAGCATTATGATGAGTGACAGAAGATTGTCTCAAAATGTTACTTATCGTTTCAATATATCTGACACTGTAGAAACACAAAACTATAGGGAGGGACAGGAGATCAGTGGTTGTCAGGAATTAGGGGTGGAAGAGGGTGTGACTACAAACTGCTCTGAATACTTATTGTAGTGATTGTTACATGAAACTGTATATATGTTAAAATTCATAAACCAGTATTACAAAAAAGGACAATTTTACAGTATGTTAATTAAAAAAAATCATTCCCCATCCCCAAGGCCTTGCCTTCACATACTGGCTTTTGATTCATCTGCTGTTTATTTGCATGTATGGTATAAGGTAGGTATCTAATTATATTTTCTTTTTCTTATGGGACAACCAGTTGACCCAGTACCACTTACTGGGTAGTACATTTTTCCACCACTGATTTTTAACACCATACCTGTCATATGTTGTTTCCATAAACATATGGGTCTTTTTCTGGGGTCTCTATTCTATCTCTGGGTCTATTTATCTATTTCTACATCAATACCACACTGCCTCAATTGCTGTAATTGTAAAATAAACTCTTGCTATCTGCTATGGCAAGTCACCTTTTTTCTTCAAAATTGCTTTACTCATTCTTAGCCTTTTCTAGAAGCTAATTTAATCCAAATGATCTCTATTGAGTACCCTAGAGTAAAATTAAACTGCTAGGTAATAGTTTTAATTCAAACTGATGGTAGCCTTCTGAACCCGAGAAATACTACCTTAAATATAAGAGAGTATTTTTGGTCAATACAGCTACCCTGTTAGTCAACGAAGCAGATGTTTACTCCCATTTTACCAATGAGGAGATAGTTGCAGGAATTCCAAATGTAAGGAGCCAAATAACAGGGCCACACAGCAAGGAAGGAAGCCAAGCTAGCCGTAGAAATAGAACTCCTGATCCCCAAGCTAGTGCTGTATTCACTAGCCAAGTTGGATCACCAAGGCCCTGTTTGCTTTTACCTACATAAAAACCATCTTAGTCTCCCCCACCCCCCATGGAAAAAGAAAGCAAATTCCATGACCCTACTCCATCATGGGGCGGGGGTTTCATGATATTACAGAAACTGCATTTCAAGCCAGCCACAGAATATGAATGGAAGTGTAAATAAAATGAAAAATAAACATTTCAAATATGTTTCCCTACAACTAATAAAAGTCTAGCATCCATTTTAATTAGGCATTATGATTAATTACAAGATCAGTGAATGTTTACTGATAGGATTTTTGAAATTACAATTAACACCTACTTAAAAAAAAATTCTCTCTCCAGATTGCATAATGAAATATTACTATCAAAACGAACTATATGTAAAATTATTTTGTAATTATAAAAACATACTCATGGAAAAGAATTATAAACAGCAGGTAACTCAAAGTATAATTTTATTAGTACTTCAGAAAAACAGTGACACTGAGTTTCTAAGGATCTGCATGTTCATTTCCTGTATTTGAAACTCCACAGAAAAAAATTAAATGTTTTATAATACGCATTTACTTTACCACCTATTTTAAAACCCATTATGGCTTTCCCCTCCTTTTTTGGCCAGGGGAAAGAGACTAACTAGAGTGGAAGGAAGATTGTTTTCCAAACTTTCTAACGAGTTTTAATTAAAAAAAAAAAAAAAGACTCCAGTAAACAGTACTCTCAATTTATCTACTTTTTTATATTGCCTGTCTTAAAGAGTCACAGTGTATTTACATACATTATTTTTTTTAAAGATAGACCCAATTTACAAGTTTTGTTTTTTTTTTTTTAAAAAAGCAGGGTTCTTTTTTCTTGCTGCATTAGCCACATTCTTGCCCACTTTATAACCCAAAACAGTCAGACTTCCTGGCACAGGGTTCAGAACATTCTGCTTATGATAAAAGAGAAACCACTACCCACCCAATACAGCAATTGCCAGCTGCTTAATTTTTATTTTGGTTAAGAAAAATTTAAAGAAATTCAAATCACTCTTCTTTTTTCATTTATCCATAATCTACTACTGAATAGCTGAACCTACACAGAAATATTGTGACCACTGATATACCACAGATGTACCTGTAAGTGCCAAGACTCTTGTTTAGTTTAAAATGTTTTCTTGAGTTGTTCAGGCAAGTGCTTCTAATGTTAATTACAAAAAAGAAAAAAGAAAACCTGTTGGCATTGAGTCGGTTCCGACTCATAATATTAACTGACAAATAGAAACAGCTAACTAAAAATTTGACATAGCTATAGCTTTCATAGGAACTTACAATCTAAAGAGATCAAGAGTGCATGAAATTATATTTAAAGCACTTTATACAGATATATCATTGTATCTGAAACCACATAAAATTTTCAGTGTCCTTGAAAATGGTGGAATGTGCACGGTTGCAGCTTACGAAGAAAATCAACTTTTAAAGTTGGAATGAAAAGAATTTGGAAGTAAGGGCACTGGAGAATTTTTTTTTTTTTTTAATTATACCTGCTCCCTTAGAATTGTGTCTAAATATAATTGTATATACGTATGTTCAAACAGGTATGACAATTCAAGAAGGAACTTAATCTAAATCAGTTATTTCTAATTTATGGGCCAAGGAATCAATGGAAGAGGTGCGTGAACGCATATTCACCAAGCATTGACTGTAGTCTAAAACATTTTTTCCCCACACATGCCCCACCATTTTTCAAATATAGACAGATACTAAACCAAAAAAATCCACTGCCGTTGAGTCAATTCTGACTCATAGCGACCCTATAGGACAGAGCAGAACTGGCTCTAGACAGATACTAGTGTAACAAAATACAAAATCATATAAAAATATAGTTTTTTTTGGGGGTGGGGGAATTAAGCATAATCTCAATAAATAAATACTGAAAAGTAAAATTACTTGTGTTAGGGTGCAAGTTTCCTCATATTCAAAAAAGGTCGGGAGCCTTTAAGCTACTACACAAAGTTGCTTCTCGCTCTAAAATTCTATGACTTCAAGGGCGCTAAGGACTTCCATGGTAAATTCTTTATAACTATTACATTTTAAATATGCATACACATATAAATATAAATAATGTCTGCTATGTGCCAAGTATTGGAGGCTAGGTTTTATTACAATGAATAAGACATGATTCTAGCCTCAAGCTCAAATAGGCAGGAGAGACAGATACATGGACAAATAAGACAACCTAAAAATACTGCAGAACTACTATGTTTCAAGGGCTTTAGGAGCATAGTGGGTGTTATCGATGTCACCTACAGGAGTCAGAGAAGACCAAACCAAACCAAACCTGCTGCCATCGAGTCGATTCCGACTCTTATGGCTATGAATTGGGTCTTGACAGATAAAGCAGAGAAGGAACAGAAAACCTTCTAGACAAATGGAACAGCACACACAAGGGCAAAAAGTTGTGCAAGTGCATGGCATGTTTGGCGAAACAACCGCAGTATGGTATAGTAGGATATTAAGGAGAAGCAATATGAGACTGAACAGGTAAAATGGACTGGAACAGGTCGTAAAGGGTCCTAAATGGTATGCTTAACAATGAGGACTTGAGTCTGTCAGCAACACGGTTATTGAAAGAGTTTAAGCCAAGGAGTGATATAAACAGATATGTTTCCAGAATGGTAGTTTTATGGGAAGAGGACGTCAGAACGAAATGAAGACGGTGGGGAACCAGCTGGGTGGCAACTGCAATAATACTGGTGAAAGAAGACATAGTAATGTAGGGCAATGTGAGTGAAAATGAAGTGTCAAAAGGACAGCGCTCGGGTTTCTGGATTGGACAGCAGCAAGGATACTGGTACGATTATTAGTAAAGGGATACAAAAGAAAGGTAGGAGACAACCAGGAAATGAGTAGTATCCCTTCGAGGGCACTGCCAAGAAAGATGGTATGGTTATCTGTGAAAAAAAAAAAAAAACAGGAAAAAAGGAGTATCCCTTGAAACACACACACTTTGAAGAAAGAGGGAATGGTTATCCATGTCAAATGCTGCAAAGAAAGAACTTGACAACTAAAAAGGGTCCCTCTTCGCTGAAGCCCCACCCCCGTCCCCCCCGGAAATGGTTGCGTTTCCAGGTGGGTAAGGAAGGGAAAAACCAGATACGAAAGGGGTGTTTACAGCGTTAGGGACAAGAATCTTCATTAAACACTTTTCGCACCTCAATTCCGGCAAGAGGAGCTCAGAGCTGAGAACGGGGAGAGGAATCCGGCTCCCAGGAGTGGGGAGCCTGCGATGGAAGGCAGCTAAGGCCGGGCGGCAGGTAGTTCAGTTGTGCAAAACCCCGGATGCAGCCCAGGGGAAGAAAGCTTCTGACTGGCCTACGCCCGCTCCCGTCCCTGAATTTATTCCACTTACTCCGGTCTCTAACCCTCGCAGCAGTCAGCTGTAGAAATTAAGGACTCAAAGTCTCTGTCAACGGAGACCCATATAGAAGAGACTCCAAGCACCTGTCCAGCTTCTTCAGCAAGCAGACGCAGAACCGGATAGAGTTAGCGGAAGGGCACTACAGAGGTTGCCAAGCCTAGCCCGATCACTGGCCCGGGAGAACCTCCGCTGACGGCCTCCGATAAGCGCTATGTGAGCGCCCCAACCTCGCGATAGTTCCTTCCTCTGGCTACCGTGGGTAGAGTCGAGAGATTTGTCTGCCGTTTCTCGCCCACTTGCGCGAGAAGTAGGGGCGGGTTCTTTCTACGTCCCTCCTTGCTTATCCAGTCCCAGGCTTTCGCTCGGCCTCTCGCAAAGCCTCGCGAGTTTTTCGAAGGGAAGCCGGGCTGGGAGGAGAGTCGGAGAAAGAGAGACTGGATGGGAGGGTCGTGCGCTAGTGCACCGTAGCTGGTTTAGCGTATGCTGTGGCTGGTACTTCTCTGTTGGGGGTGCTCTCAGGTCACCCGGATCATTTTTCCTAATGGGTGGCTGGGAGAATTAGCTGGAAGAAAACCTTGAGGGCCGGAGGCATTTTTTTCTCCCTGGCTCCGCCCTCTTCCTGTTCAGCTACCTGGGCGTCTGGCCCCCCAAGGCGGAAGGGAAAGTTGGTGGGGCTGTCGAAGAGCATTTAGCGCACGCGCGAGTGTGAGTGTATGTTTGTGTGTTCATACGCACGCGCGCGCTTCTGCATTTAGGAAACCTGGGAAGGAGCAGTGTGCTAGGAGATGAGCGGGGAAAACATAGTCTCCTATCTTTGGTACCAGACACTTGTGACTGTGCGCTGACCCTCCGCAGCCAGCCAGCAGCCTTTTCCAGAGAGGCTGTGGTCCATAGCCTCTGTTCGTTTTCACTGCAGGACCAGGCACGAAAGTAAGCTAACCTCAATTCTGAGGTCTTCCCTATCCACCCACCTTGTCCTTTCCGGCCCCCCCCCCCCAAGCAAAGTGTGTCTAGAAGGTTTCTCAGGAGTTTGCATGAAGGGGAGATGCATTTGAAAGCAGGAGATGAAAATAGCCGGATACTAAAAAGTCAGTTTTTCATGAACAGTTGCTCTGATTACCGTGTGCTTCTCGGATGTGAATTGTTTATTCATTATAAGATTTTATTAGCGAAGCAAAGGAGTACAGTATACTGTCTTTTAAAAAAAGTTTTAAAAGTTCTTCTTCCCACCATTGTGATGGGAAGTCACTTTTTCTCTTCTACGTGATAACTTACCCTGGTGTTTAAAAAACTAAGGGAAGGGTGTGAGTTAAGACCTTAATGCGAATACCTGATACGCAGTTATCTTAGGACAATTTTATTACGTCGGGCTTTTCTTTTGCTGCCACTTCTCCTTCCTGTTAATTTCCCTTTCTCCCATGCTTTCTCAGAAGTCTTGAAACGTTTTTTTGGGGGGAGAGAAGCCCCAAAATGCTGACTTGGTTTAGTTTCGGGGATTGAATGTGACTGGTGACAGTTACCAAGGAACATCAAAAGTGTATTTTGGAGAGTATTTGTCGTTTATTATGTATGGTATATAAGTGAGTAAGATATAATCATATGTAAAAATTTAAAGTTTGTTAAAAAAAAAGAAAGTATGAACTCCAGTTTTGCCTGTGCCTAGTAGAGTGACGGAAACCCTGATTGTGTAGTGATTAAGTGCTACTGCTCCTAACCAAAAGGTCGGCAGTTCAAATCCACCAGCTACTTCTTGGAAACCCTATAGGGCAGTTCTGCTCTGTCATATAGGGTCGCTATGAGTTGGAATTGACTCCCCGGCAACAGGTTTTGTTTTGTTGTTTTTTAGTAGAGTGACAAAGCCCTGGTGGCACGGTGGTTAAGAGATTAGCTGCTAAATAAAAGTTCGGCAGTTCGAATCCACCAGCTGCTCCGTGGAAATCCTATGGGGCAGTTTTACTCTGCCCTGTAGGGTTGCTGTGAGTCGGAATTGACTCCACAGCGATGGGTTATGGGTTAGTAGAGGGACAGCCCAATATGGTGTAACCTCATCCCTGGAATTGATACAGTTACCTTCTGGCTGTGACTCCATTAAATCTTGTTCTTTGTTGGGTAAATTTCTTTGACCAGTGATAATTCATGTTCTCTACTAAATCTTGAGGAGACACATTAATTAGAAATAATTTAAGATATTAAATGTTACGTATATACATTCAGCTAATATGTTTTTCCCTTTACAGGTTAAAACAAAATGAAGATTTTTTCTGAATCTCATAAAACAGTGTTTGTTGTGGATCACTGCCCTTACATGGCAGAATCCTGCAGACAACATGTTGAGTTTGATATGCTGGTGAAGAATAGGACCCAAGGAATCATCCCCTTGGCCCCCATATCTAAATCATTGTGGACTTGCTCAGTAGAATCTTCCATGGAATATTGTAGAATAATGTATGATATATTTCCTTTCAAAAAGCTGGTGAGTGTTTAAATCTGAAGTATGAGCAAAATCATGATTTGGGGTCTGTACTTAACTGCCTGAATACATTTTTTAAAAATATGAATTTATTATAGATTTGACTTACAACTGTTTGTTTTATACTTTTAAAATGTGGTACATAGAGCTGCCCTTTGGGGTTAATACATTATGACTGTTTAGTTGGGACCAGAATAATAATAACAGCTAACAATTATTGAACACTTACGTGCAGACATGTGCCAAAGTGCTTTGTATTTATTAACTCCTTTAATTCTTACAACAGTCTATGAGGTACTGTAATTAGTGGGGCAATATTCAAAATGTATAACAACCAGTATGGAACAGGCACTGACTATTGAGAACTGTCAACAGCCCAAGCAGAAGGGATGTGTTGGCCGTAATCACTTTGTCAGATTGTGGTGATATGTACCAGCTGAATATCAGCCTTATTTATTTCTTCCATGTTGGAGATGCAGAGACTGAGGCAGAGAGAAGATAAGAAACTTGACCTGGGTCACGTAGGTAGGTAGAGGCAGAGGCAGAATTTGAACCAGGCAGGCTGGTTGTTTGCAGTTTTAGTGACTGCATGCTAAACTACTAGAGGATTTGGCCATATTAGAAAGAATTGCTCTTAAGAATGGTAAGTAGAAATTGTTTTTATCAATTAGAAGAGAAATTGATCAATAGAAATTCTCAGTATTAAAGTTATCTTCAGGTTTTAAGATCTCAAAAGTTTTAACTCAGAATAGACATTTTGGTTAACCACAAGTGGATAATTTACTTTTGGTTTTATTTGGAACAGCCTAGGCTGGGACTGGTGTCGCCGGGTGGCACAAGCGGTTAAGTCCTTAACTACTAGACAAAAGGTTGGTAGTTTGAACCCATCCAGAGACACCTTGGAAGACAGGCCTGGTGATCTGCTTCTGAAAGGTCATAGTCTTGAAAACCCTATGTAGCGGTTCTGTTCTGCACACATGGAATCTGTGAGTTGGAATCGACTCAACTACAGCTAATAACAACAGGCTGGGACCTAGCCAAGTCTTAGAGTGGCATAGGTAGGGCAGTAACAATAAGGCTAAACATAGAGTCCAATATTATGCATTCCAATTTATTCCAAATTAAAACACAAGTTGTTTTAGTTCCTCTTTGAAGGAGTCCTGGTGGTGCAGTGGTTAAGTGCTCAGCTGCTAACCGAAAGGTTGGTGGTTTGACCCCACCAGCTGCTAGGCAGGAGAAAGATGTGGCAGTCAGCTTCTGAAAAGATTTACAGCCTTGGAAACCCTATGGGGCAGTTCTCTGTCCTGTAGGGTCGCTGTGAGTCGGACAGACAGAGTTCCCCTATAACTTTAAATTTTTGTGCATTTTATATAGGGTAGTAAATAAAGTGAGGGGGAGGATATTATACTGATTTAGGACACAGGTTTTTATTCAAATCATGATTTCGTTAGCTACCAGTGGTGTGATCTTGATCATATTACTTAATTTCTCAAAGCCTGTTTCCTCTTTTGTAAGCATAACAGCTACTTCCTGTGATTGTTGTAAGATTTAAATGAAACAATCTAAGTAAAGTGGCTTGTAAAATATGTCTTTGTCCGATAAACAGCAGGAGAGAAGACCAATTCTGAACTTACTCATTGTGGAAGGAAAATTAGTATTTCATGGATATTAGGAAAAAAAGATCATGGATTATATCATATAGTCCAGGAGAAAGAAATAAATCTTACCCTTCTCGCAAAAGGGGAAATAGTTACTTCATATATTTTCTAATATGTTCCTTACTGTCATTACCATCTTACCTGATAGTATTATTTTATTTGAATTTTACTTTAAAACAAAATAAAGTCCAAACCCATATGTTAACTTTCAGTGCCTTATGTATCATATGGCTACTGCCTATTTCTCTGAGCTTAGCTCCTACCCTTTCTCATGCTTTGACCTTTCTGTTCCTGGTACATGCGTAGGGGCCTTTGCATTTGCTTTCACTGTACCTGCAATTCTCCACCTCCAGCTTTTTCCAAGGCTAGTTTCTTTTGGTCATTTTGGATTCCCCTCAGTTGCCACCTCCATGGAGAGCCCTTCTCTGATTACCCAATTTAAAGTAGCTAACCAGCTTTTTCTTTCCATAGCCTTTATCACTGTCTGAAATTATCTTGTTCGTTTGTTTGTTTGTATTCTCCCTCCCTGCACTGTTGTTTATTTCACCACATTCCCTGACTCCCTGCTTTTGCCATGTTGTTGGTGACAGAATGTTTTATTCTTCAGTGATTCCCCACAATCTCAGTGCAAAGAAAGCAACTGGCATGTATGAGCCATTATGTAACTGTAAAATGAATTAATTAATTAGTGAACCAGTGCTAGAAATTGCATATTATTTTACAATATGATGGTGATTAAGTGAAATTAGAGTTGAATACTAATTGTTTTTGAAACCTAGGTGAACTTCATTGTGAGTGACTCTGGAGCACATGTTTTAAATTCTTGGGCTCAAGAAGACCAAAATTTACAGGAGGTATGATTCAGTTTTGAGTTGTGGCCATTTTTGAAAATTATCTAACTGTGGTAAAAAAATTTTTTTTTAAATTATTAGAAATATTTTATCAATGTAGTATTTGTGCATAGTTTTAGAACACTAAGTAATACTAAAAGAAAAATAGCTATCTTATTCCAGCCTTTTCTTACCTAAAAGTTAGAAGCAAATTTTAATTCTTTAGCTGTTTACTTCCATATTTCTAAACAGCATGTTTTTACTGCTGTTTATTGAGTTCTAAATTTAAATTTTATCTATTACTATTGTGAATGAGGATTTACCTTTTTTATACCCTTCCCCCCATACCCGTATGCCTACCCCCTTTCCTTTCCTCATTTTCTCATATTGTTATCTCAGAATTTTTGGTTATTCATAATTTCATGTTTACATTATAATGTCTACATAAAGTAGACATTACTACTACTAAGCCAGGTAGTATATATGATAATTTTGTTTCTTGTACAACTGTTTGTTTATTCCTGTAATTTATCATTTCTTTTTTTTAAAATTTGAGTAGTTTTCTTTGTATCTCTTCTGTTCTTCCTCATGTCTCTACAGAACCTCTCAATATTTTTCTCATAAATGTATCACATAATTTAGCAGTTTTAATTTTTTCCCTGAAGATTTTCCTGGTGCTCAGTCTTCTGTTCTAGTTTGAACTGGCTGCTCCCCTGTACTGTCATCCTTCTCTCTCCTTGTTTTTCAGATCCCTTTTTTTTTCCTTTTTCTTTGTGTAATCTCTTGTTTTGGTAGAGTATAACCTCTAGAATTCCATAACAGCCTTTATACTTTATCAATACTTTTTGAGTATAGAAATTCCAGATTGGAAATAATTTTTCCCTCAGAATTTTGAAGGTGTTATCCAACTGTCTTATAGCTTCCAGTGTTGTTCAGAAGTTTTATACAATTTTTATGCCTTATTTCTCTCTGAAAGCTCTTAGAATCGTTTCTCTTTCTATGTTCTGAAATTTGTCAGTGATGTGCCTTGGTGTTAATCTTTTCTTATTCATAGTGCTGAGTCCTTATTGACTCTTTTAGGCTAACCCTTGTATCCGTCAATTCAGGAAAGTTTCCCTGGATTAGTTCTTTGAAAATTTTCTTGTTTTTGTATTCTGTGTCTTTTTGGAATACCTATTAGTGGGATGTTGGACTTCCTGGTGAAATTCCTTATTCTCTCATTGGTCTTCTGTGTCTGTTGCTCTTCGTGAATCTTTTACTTACTTTTTTAACTCATATAGAGCTTTTTATTTGATCATATTTCTACAAACTCTCACTTGTGCTCTATCTCCATTTTCATAGTACCTTTTTCTGATTTTATGAGTTTTATTGTTTTTCTTAACCTGAGGGTATTAGTTGAAGTTTTCTTTTGATCCCTCTGTGTTCTCAGGTTTTTTTTTTTTTTTAAAGTAAAGCACTAAATAGCAGATCAGAAAATCTGTATGTTGTAGGGTAGATATTGCTGATTGGTGGGCTTCACTCTGGTGTAAGCCAGTTGTTTTCATTGGAGAATATCCAGCTGTCGGAATCAACAGATCATCTCTCTGGACTGTTCAGGGTTTCCAGAGATGGATCTTCCGCTTTCTGCCTGTATGCTGTGAACTTGGTGTGTGAGCCTTCTGGGAGCCATATAAGTGGTGGGTCCTACCATTCAGTAGGTAGAATCTTTCTGTTTTTGGTCTAGTACTGTGCTGTCTAATATAGTAACTACTAGCCACTGTGGTTAGGAGCTTGGTTGCTAACCAAAAGGTTGACAGTTCAAATTCACCGGTCGCTTCTTGGAAACCCTGTGGGGCAGTTCTACTTTGTCCTATAGGGTCGCTGTGAGTAGGAATCTACTCAGTGGCACTCAACAATAGCTACATACAGTTGTTTAAATAAATGAATTAAAATTAAATACAATTAAAAATTCAGTTCTTCTGTAGCAGTAGCCGTGCTTTAGATGCTCAGTAGTCACATGTGGCTAGTGGATACTCTATTGGATAGCACAGGTGTAAAACATTTTCGTTGTTGCAGAAAGTTTCGTTGGTGGCACTGGTCTAGTATCTGTCCTTTTCCTCTGTTGTGCCTTGTGGTATCCATACTTGGTACCTTTATGGTTCAGTTCCTTTGAGGAATGTAATTCTGTATCTAGGAGGTGAGGGAAGAGGTAGTCACTTACATGGTAGGGTGGGAGTAAAACCTGAGGGAAAGGTTGTTCTTTATACTGACTTCAAACCATTCTTGGTTGTTCTGGATCATGCCTCACCTCTGCTTTGTGTGGTACTTGGTACCTCCAGTTCCCAGACCTCTCCTGGATTCTGCAGGGTATACCACCCTGATTTTTTTCCCCTTCTAGGCACTTAGATTTCATCTTATTCAACCCTACTAAGTCTACTCCCATTCCTCCAGTTATTTTTCTGTCTTCACATTTTTGTTGACATCTCTTTATTTGCTGTTGTCCCGTCTTCTATTCTCTTTATCTTTGTAGGTTTGTTCATTTTGGTGTGTGTGAGCTTTTTAAAATTAAATTCCTTTACTGTGGTTTTAGTAGGGAGCAGAAATAAACTCATTCTCAATCCATTAAGTTTATGCTTTTTAAAACATTGTCTAAGGATATTGAGTTTGTAGTAGCTTATGTTCTTTGCTATTGTTTAGTTGTGTAGAAGACTTCAGTCTACTAGGTTCTTCACTGATGAATGTGAATGACATGTGAGACAGGCATGAGTGAAATATTTGACTATATCACTTGAACTGTTTCATGTTAAAATTTTTCTGTTAATGAGTGTTCTTCAATGTGTTTTAACTTCTAAAGAATTGTGTTTATCACAGTTTTTGGTCTTAAAATGATTATGGTTAATCTTATATAAACATTACCTAACCTGAATTCTTTTTTTTTTTTATTGTACTTCAGGTGAAGGTTTACAGAACAAATAGTTTCTCATTAAACAGTCAGTACACATATTGTTTTATGACATTGGTTAACAACCCCACTACATGTCAACCTTCTCCCTTTTTGACCTTTTTTTTTTGGTGAAAATATACATAGCCAAGGATATACCATTTCAAAAATTTCTACATGCACAGTTCAGTGACATTGACTGTGTTCTTCCAATTGTGTTGCTATTCTCACTTAAGATGAAGGCTTACAGAACAAAATAGTTTCTTATTAAATAGTTAGTATACATGTTGCCCTGTGACTATGGTTAACAACCCCACTACATGTCAACACTGTCCTTACTCAACCTTGGGTTCCCTGTCACCAGTTTTTGTGTCCCCTTCTGCCTTCTAGTCCTTGTCCCTGGACTGCTGTGCCTCATTAGCCCCATTTTGTTTTATGGGGCTGTCCAGTCCCCGGCTGAACAGTGAACTTTGGAAGTGACTTCACCACTAAGCTAAAAGGGTGTATGGGGGCCATACTCTCGGGGTTTCTCCAGTCTCTTTCAGGCCAGTAAATCTGGGCTTTTTTGTGTATGTTAGAATTTTGTTCTACATCCTTCTCCAGCTCTGTCCAGAACCCTCTGTTGTGATCCCAGTCAGAGCAGTCAGTGGTGGTAGCCGGGCACCATCTAGCTATACTGGACTCAGTCTGGTGGAGGCCTTGGTAGCTGTGGTCCATTAATCCTTTGGACTAATCTCTTCCCTGTATCCTGTTCTCTTCATTCTCCCTTGATCCTGAAGGGGTGAGACCAGTGGAGTATCTTAGATGGCTGCTCACAGGCTTTTAAGACCCCAGAGGCTACTCACCAAGGTAGAATATAGAACATTTTCTTTATAAACTGTGTTGTGCCAATTGAGCTAGATGTTCCCCTAGAGCAGGGTCCCCACAGCCCTCAGCCTAGCAATTTTGTCCCTCAGGGAGTTTGGATGTGTCTATGGAGCTTACATGACCTTACCTTGTACAAGTTGTACTGGCTTCCCCAGTATTGTATACTGTCTCACCATTCACTAACCTTAATTCTTTTAAAGTAACTCACTCAAGGGGTTGGCTCTTATTGGCTTGGCTTTGCACTTATATTACTCCAGAATATTCTTACTATTTTTTCATTACTTGAAAAAATAATATTAAGCATTCTACGCATTCTCCTGTTCTGTCTTTTTGAAGTGACGTGTGTCCTGGTGTGCTCTTTCAGGAAGCACTGGGAAAGAAGCTTGAAGCCTCTCTAGTTGCATATGAATATAAATATGCACAAATTAATGTAGAGATCTCTACAGTACTATAAAAGGTGTGCATTTGATAATCGGTATACTGATGGTAGGAAAATTCTTCCCTCTGCTTTCTGAGTTTATTTCTGTTCCCTCCTAAAACATTATATCACACTTGTTGCTTTTAAATGAGGAGTAGAGGGGAAAGCTCCAATTTGTTCCTATTCTGAAGGCAATTGTATAGCAAATCATTGGTGTTCAAGATGATATAAGAGAATTGACATTTTGTATACATTATATATAATTTTGTGTCTATTTAACACATTTAATATTTTAACTCTGGTTATCTATATCATAACTTCCCTCAGTTATTGTGAATAATCATGAGTAACAAATGAAGTAGATTGCAGAATGTTTGACATCCTTTGCTTCAGTTTCTTCATTGTGCAGGTGAAGGAACTGAGGCCCACAGGGGCCAGAGGTTGCTTAACTGATACAGCTAGGTCCCAGGCTCTTTCTATTACAGCACATATCTCTTTCTCATACATCTTAAGTTATTACAAAAAATTGTCAGGCCTCAGGAGTTCTGGTTGGCTAAGTTAAAGTTTAAAAGTGTCACACTAATGTGGGACAGGTTCTATTATTATTCCCTTTTTCAGATTAGGAGAGAGCTAGGAAAGATTGACCAGAGTCACACAGCTAATAAAAGGTAGAGCCAGGATTTGAGTCCATATCTGACTACAGAAACCAACCTCTTTTCTTTCTGCTGCTTCCCCAACACCACAACACCTCCCCCGCCAAAAGCTACTTCTTATTAGTTTCTCCTGTGTACTAGGGACTTTGTATAACCATTTATAAAGTATTTTTTCTTCCTTTTATGGTTACTTTTTGTGAATAGACAATAGCCGTATAATTAAAAAATAAAATTTTACATATATACGTACATAAATATGTACATTCATATGTATTTGTGTGTTTGTGTGTATATGTATGTAAGTAAAAGGTATACTTTAAAAAAGTTTGCTTCCCACTCGTCTCTGGTCCCAGTTAGTGGTGTGCTAGCCTGCTCATACCAGCTTGGGAGAATCAATTCTGTACATCTCTTACTGACTCTACATTCAGTGATGTAACAATTGGAGCTTGAAATCAGCCATGATGGAAGTATTTAACTATAGAAATTGACAGACAACTACAGATCGGGGCTTTTATTTTATCTATTTTGGAGAGCCAGTTTACCGGCACCACTGGTTATCCTCACTGTTGTTTCATAGTTTCTTATGGGTCCTTTCAGAGTAACTTTATGCATGTACAAGCAAGTACAGATAGTTTCTTTCCACTTTTATTTACACAAAAGGTTATACTTCTACACATGCTTCTGCATCTTTTTCACTTAAATATGTATCCTGGGGGGAAAAATACACATCTCCTGGAAATCCTTTCCTTAACGGTACACCTGCATAGTTTTTGTCACACCTGCATAGTTTCCCACTGTATGGATATAGTCCTCTTTTGATATGTGTTGGGGTTGTTTCCAATTTTTTGCTTTTACTATGCTGTAGTGAATAATTCTGTATATTTGTCATTTTGCATATTTAGAAGTTTATTTGTAAAATGTATTCCCCAAATGGAGTTGCTGGGTCAGAGGGTATATGCAATTATAATTGATAGATACTGGGAAATCCCCTTCCATAGGCTAGTGTCCATTTACTTCCCAGCAGTGTATGAGAAATATACAATTTGTAACAGTTACAACAATCGTATGGGATGGGTATTATTATTATTCTCGAATTGATTGGCTGGTACAAGACAACAACCACAACAGTTATTTTTCTCATTTTAATCATAGCTACAGGTTCAGAGAAACCAAACTTGATAGTTAAAAGGAGCATTCCTTTTTCTAATCATGCGGATAAGAGAGGATTTTTCCTTTTTAAATTTTTACAAATTTTCCTTTAGGTGTGAATGAAAAAATTAGCTGTCTTTGAATTTGCATTGTTTTATCTGAAGGAAGGCGTGTCAGATTTTTTTTTTTGTAAATCATTTAATATGAGGTAAGAATATTGGTAAGGAGCCCTGGTGGCACAATGGTTAAGTATTTGGCTGCTGACTGAAAGGTTGGGAGTTCAAACTCGCCCAGTGGTTCTGTGGGAAAAAGACCTGGAGATCTGTTCCTGGAAAGATTACAGTCTAGAAAACCCTATGGGACAGTTCTCCTCGGTCACCTGGGGTCACTGAATCGAAAATTGACTGGACATCACCTAACAGCAACAACAATGAGATTATTTGTGGGCTAGAAATGTATTGCTTATTATTCCTTATATTGACATTTTATAAACTCTGAGTATTTTGTTTTGAAATATTAACTCTCCTGTAATATTGGACCTCACGGATATTCAGAATAACAGTTATATTTATAAACTTTTTTGTTAGTGGAATATTCCATGAGAATTTTGTATATTTTCCTTCATTTATCCTTAAAGATATGTGGAATTGTAAGGTATGTGCCAAAAATAATATGAACTTATAGTGTGTTATAATTTATGAAGTACTTGCACATAAAAACCCACTGCCATCGAGTCAATTCTGACTCATAGAGACCCTGTAGGACAGAGCAGAACTATCCTATAGGGTTTCCAAGACTGTAAATGTTTATGGAAGCAGAATGCCACGTCATTCACCCACGGAGTGACTGGTGGGTTCAATCCACTGACCTTTCACTTAGCAGCCGCACACTTAACCAATTCACCCATTTAGAGTGTACAATTAAAAGATTTTTAGTATGTTCACAGATGTGTGCAGCTGTCACTACGGTCAGTTTTAGAACATTTTTATCACCTCAAAAAAAAAAAAAAGCCCAAAAAACAAACAAAAATACATTTTAACCATCACTTGCCTGTTTCTCATCCTTCCCAGCTGTAAGCAACTACTAATCTACTTTATGTTTCTATAGATGTCCAGATTCTGGACATTTGATATAAATGGAGTCGTAATATGTGGCTTCTTTCACTTAGCATAATGTTTTCAAGGTTCATCCATGTTGTAGCATATATCAGTACTTCATTTATTTTATAGCCAAATACTATTCCGTTGTATAGATATACCACATTTTGTTTATCCACTTGTCAATTGATGGACATTTGAGTTGTTTCCATCTTTTGGGTATTATGAAAAAAATCTTTCTATAAACATTCGTGTACAATTTTTGTGTGGACATATCTTTTCATTGCTCTTGGGTATACATCTGGGTAATATGATAATCTATTTAGCATTTTGAGAAACTGCAAAACTTTTTCAAAATGGCTACACCATTTCACATTCCCATTAGCAGTGAATGAGGATTTCCATTTCTGCATATGCTTACCAACACTTGTTATAATCTGACTTTTTGATTCTAGTCATCCTAGTGGGTGTGAAGTGGTGATTTTGTGATTTTGATTTGCATTTCCCTAATGACTGATACTGTCAAACATCTTTTCATGGGCTTTTTGGCCATATATGTATTTTCTCTTGAAAAATGTTTATTCAGATCTTTTGCCCATTTTTTGATTGGGTTCCTGATATTTTTTTTACTGAGTTGAAAGAGTTCTTTATATATCTGGATACAAGTCCCTTATCAGATATGATTTGTAAATATTTTCTTCCATTCTGTGGGTTTTCTTTTTCACTTTCTTGATGGTATCCTTTGAAGCACAAAAATGGTTAATTTTGATGAAGTCCAAGTTACCTATTTTTTTTTTTTTTGTTTGTGGTTTTGGTATCATAGCTAAGATACGTTTGCCAAACCTGAGGTCATAAAAATTGATCCTTATATTTTCTTCTAAGACTTTTCTGATTTTAGCTCTTACATTTAGGTGTTTGATCTATTTTGAATTAATTTTTGACTGTGGTATGAGGTGTGGGTCTAACATGTGGCTATCCAGTTGTCTTCAGCACCATTTGTTGAAAAGACTGTTCTTTTCCTATTGAATGGACTTGGCACCCTCGTTGAAAGTCGGTTGGCCATAAATGTGTGGATTTATTTCTGAACTCTCAATTCTATTCCATGGATCTATATGTTTTATCTTTGTGCCAGTACTACATTGTCTGGACTACTGTTTCTTTTTAGTAAGTTTTGAAATCAGGCCATGTGAGTTCTACTTTCTTCTTTTTCAAGATAGTTTTGTCTGTTCTGGGTCCTCTTGCCATCCCATATGTATTTTAAAATTGGTTTCTACAAAGATGTTAGCTGGGATTCTGATGGGGGTTGAGTTGAATCTGAATTGGGTAATACTGACATCTTAAGAATATTAAGTCTCCTGATCCATGAACATGGAATGTTTTACTACTTATTTAGATCTTTAATTTAGCAAGTTTTGTAGCTTTCAGAGTATAAATTTTGCATTTCTTTTCTTAAATTTATTCTGGTTTTATTCTTTTTGATGCTGTTGTAAATGGAATTGTTTTATTTTAATTTTTAGATTGTTCAATGCAAGTGTATAAAAATACAATTAATATTTCTGTATTGATCAGATATCCTGCCACCTTGCTGAACTTGTTTATTAGTTCTAATAGTTTTATAATGGATTCCTTAGGATTTTTTATAACATCATGTCATCTGCAAATAGAGATAGTTTTATTTCTTCTTTTTCATTCTGGATGCCTTTTATTTCTTGCCTAATTTCCCTGGTTAGAAATTCACAGTGCAACATTGAATGGAAGTGGTGAGATTGGACATCCTTGTCTTGTTTCTGATCTTAGGGGTAAAAGCATCCAATCTTTCACCATTAAGTATGTTGTTAGCTGTGGATTTTTTGTAGATGTGCTTTATCAAGTTGAGGAAGTTCCCTTCTGTTCCTAGTTTGTTGAGTATTTTTGTCATGAAAAGGTGTTAGATTTTGTCAAACACTTTTTCCCTGTCTATGGAGATGATGTGATTTTTGTTTTTTATTCTATTGATATAATATATTGCATTAATTGATTTTCAGATTTTAAACCAACTTTTCATTCTTGGGACAATTTCACTTGGTCATGGTGTATACTTCTTTTCATGTGTTGTTGGATCTGGTTTGCTAGTACTTTTGGAGGACTTTTATACCCATAGTTATAAGAGACATCAGTCTGTAGTTTTCTTGTGTCATCTTTGTCTGACTTGACATGTTCTTGTCAACAAAATTGTTTTCCTTTTACTTAGCTGATGGCAGCATTAGCTGCCGTTGGGCCTCCTAATCCTCGGGCAGATCCAGAATGCTGCAGTATTCTGCATGGTCTAGTTGCAGCGGTGGAAACGCTCTGCAAGATTACAGAATACCAACATGAGGCTCGTACTCTACTAATGGAGAATGCGGAACGTGTTGGAAATAGAGGACGGATCATTTGCATTACTAATGCAAAAAGGTGAGACCTTAATTACAATCATTCTTTCACTGAGGGAATTTTAATATCCTGTTGAGGTTTTTGTTAAAAAAAAGCAGGGACAGCATGGTAGCATTTAAGTATATTGTAAGTGACCTTTCTCTCTCTTTTTCTTTGCCTTTTTAATATTTAATTCTAAAATAAAGACTCACTTGAGTAAAAACTATTTAGATTGTCATCATGAAAATTAATACGGCTATTTTTTCTCACTAGTTTTTCAGCTGATTGGTATTGGGAATGAGCACACTAATAGCAGTCCTTATCAAAATAATTTTAAGTGCCTGTAACAAGATTCTGAAGCTGAATAGTGTTTTTAATTTTTTATTACTGTTTATTCCATAGTTTTCTGTGTTTCCTTTTGCCATAGTGATAGCCATGTGCGAATGCTTGAGGACTGTGTGCAAGAAACAATTCATGAGCATAACAAGCTTGCTGCAAATTCAGATCAGTGAGTATAATCCATCAGTGAAATAAATATGTTAAATTTTATAGTTATATGTATTTTCTTTACAATAATTTCCAATAATATTAATAATGATTGGTAACATTCCCTTGAATTCTCTACTGCCTCAACAAATTAGTCAAAAAAATGTGTAATCACAGACTCTTTTCTGTTTTCTGTTTATATTACAATTTTACTATTTTTCCACAAGAAAAAGTGTTCAGAAGGATAAATTAAGATACAAATTTATAATGTTTTGATGCCTCACTTTTATACTCTGTAATTTGTAAAATGAGCAAATTGTTGGTAGAATTATTCAGTATGTTCCAAATCAGAACATAAATAATTGCAGTGTATGCATTTTTAAGAAAAAAAGCTATGAAAGACATGTTTTGGAAAGTTACAATGTGGACTCTATATTAGACTGAGCTATCATTAATTAAGTGGGATAACGGTATTATGGTTATGAAGAAGATTATTTTCACTTGATAAAGCATCCTGAAGTATTTCAGAGTGAAGTACGTCTTCTGCAACTTATTCTCAAATGGTTTAGTTAAAAAAAGGGTATACATCTATATATAGAATAAGTAAATGTAGCTAATAGTGAATCTAGGTGAACAATATAGGTGTTCATTGAATAGTACTTTTCTTTCAGCTTTTCTATAGGTTTGGAAATTTCAAAATAAGTTGAGGAAAATTTTTAGTGTTATAATCTTATATTCTTGGAAATAACCAATGAAAAGTAATGGTTAGTACTGCCTGATTTTGTCCTTAAAAAAATTAGTAAAGGGAAAAATTAATATATGACATATTCAATTTCTCTGTGGCAGTTTTCTGTTTAAAATTATGATTGATTATTGGAATTTTCCCTTTATTTTATCCTTCAAGCACGCAGAAAATTACCATATTTTTAATTTGAATTAAATTTGTATAAGTTCATCGTTTATACAAGTGCAGCAATTATACACAGTCTAAATATTTATCTTGTGTTCACAGTAATAACTGATCATATACGTAATACACTATTCTAGTGTATTTAACTTTTAGTAGTTTCACCTGCCTGAATGTTTTACATAGTATGTATTCTTATGTTCTAAGTGAGAAGTTTCTCTTTAAGTCTCATGCAGATTCAGAGGTGTGAGTTGGTACTGATCCATACCTACCCAGTTGGTGAAGACAGCCTCGTTTCTGATCGTCCTAAAAAAGAGGTAAGTGCAGACGTAATTGAAGAAGATAATTGTGAGTTATTAATAATATATGCTGAGTAGGGTTAGTATTAAAATGATCACATTGCCAACATTTTCTGCCTAGAAAATATCTGGCATTTTCAAAGAAATCGATATAATAAAACACCTGGGTTGATTCTTTGTTATAAATTGTAGCTTTTATGGTATTTTCTGTTTTGCCTGCTTGTTGACATTTGTATTTTAGTTGAGTATGTGCATAACCATACACAGTTTGTATTGTTCCTGAGATATCAGCCACTTTAATGAGTGAATTTCAGTTACTTTAATGACTACTTTTATTCTATAAAAATCCTTTTTTCCCTTTTACTAGAAAAGCAGTACACTCTTTAATAAAAAATACACTCCAGTAACAGAGAAATTTTTTTTACTCATCCAAAGGGAAGGGAGACTAATTTTCAACCTTGGTTCTACTTTTTCAATAAATTTGATCAATTTTAAAGGAAAAGATGATTCTGTTGATTGTTATATGGTTTCATACGACATAAAATTCTCCATCAGTAGACTATGTTTAGAAATATAGATATAACATTTACATAATTATTTTTAAATGTGTGTGTTCTTATGTTCTGGTTTTTCATTTAACATTATTTAACATTTTACATGGCAGGTATTACCTTAGTCTATGAATTTCTTTGTAGTTAAGCTGTATTTTTTATGTAATTATCTCTGTTATGGTATTTTTACATGGTTGCCAGTGTTAGCCCCTTCTCGTTAATTTTTTTTCTGCAGCTCGATAGTGTGGCAATCTTTTGTCTTTACTTTGTGAATAAAACATTTACTTACAATAAATATTATTGCCCTAAATGAATAAAATTTTGTGTTATTTTGTTGTATGTAACGTTTGGCTGCCTTGTTTATTGATGATGAAATGAGATGTTTGTAGTGATTTCTACATTCTTCTAATAAGCAGTTTAATCTGCGGAGTTTTGTCCTCCCCACAAAATGAAGTATTTTTTCTGCAGTATTTCTGTGAACCACTTTAAATCCATTTTGCTTATAGATAAAAACTGTAAATAAAAAAATATTTGAATCAAAGAGTATTCCACTCTAAGTTTTAAGAGGTCAAGGACAGTGTCTGTTTACTGCTGAGTCCTCAAATGGTTCACACAGTTTCTGACATATAGTAAACTTTGCTTAATACATATTTGTTTAATGAATGAATGCATGAAAATTTATTGCTAAAATAAGTATCATGGTTAATTTGAAGACCTTTGGATTTTTTCCAAATTCTAAAAAAGTAAAAGTACTTTTATGGGTTGTAGTAAAATATTTAGTGCTAGGTTATAATGTGTTAATATTTTAGGATTATTTTTCTTTCATCCTTTTCTGTAGTTGTCCCCAGTTTTAACCAGTGAAGTCCATAGTGTTCGTGCAGGACGGCATCTTGCTACCAAATTGAATATTTTAGTACAGCAACATTTTGACTTGGCTTCAACTACTATTACAAATATTCCCATGAAGGTAGGTGATTCCTTTTCCTGCTATTTTGAAGGCTCTCTGCTTTTTAAATATTTGTTTAACATGTATTATTTATTTTAATTCAAACTTTACTTTTTTCCCCCATATCGTATTTTCTCTTTTGCTAGCCCACGTTCAGTGTCTTTGACCAGGTTAGTAACCATTGAAAAGCACTAAGAAAGGATCACAGAACAAAATGCTGTATTTTTCTGATAAGAACAAGCTATATGAGCTTTTTTTTTAAAATGTTATTATTTTTGTTAAGATACATTCTCTATCTTAAATTATTACTTTTTTTCTGTGATTCTTTTCCTGACAGTTGTGTTACTAGATTTTACTTACTTTGTGTACTCTAATGGATCTTTTATTTTTTATATTTTTGTTCTTGCTTACCCAGTATAAAGGTGTTTGTAACTAATAGGTTCTGACTAAGGAAAGATAGCGCATAATTTTATATTAGTTTATTACTCTGTAGCTGAAAAATGTAGATGTGAGTCTTAAGATTTTACTAATAAATTTCCTTAGGAATCTTTTGCTGCCTGTTTATTTTCATAATATTATCATTACATTGTGTAGGACCAGCACAATGCCTGGCCCATAGTGAGTGTTAAATGATTTTTTATTGAGTAGAATTGAATTGTATTGATTATGTCTACAAATATAAGGTAGCTACGATATCTAAACATTCCAATTGGCTTTCTTGTATAGTCCAGTTTCATTTTTTTGCCACCACACCATGAACAATATATTCCATGAGAAATATCATCTTTTTATTATTTTCCTTCTAATACCACTGGCTGGTTCTTTGGTAGACATTGTAGGCTTACTCAGTAGAATCTTTTAGATGCAAAAGCAATTAACAAGTAAAATAGCATAGTAGGTGTCCTTTAATATGTATCATTTTACATTAGGTATAAGAAAAATACTCTGGGAGTGACAAATACCTTGCCTTTTAACTTTGACCCTATTTGTTTGCTGCTGGTGTGACCCTCCCTTCAATCTTTGTCTTTTTGGTAAATATATAATGTTGAAATTCCTACTCACGATTTAGTGAAAACAAGTTGCCACACTTGTTTATTAGTCTATATTTGCTATTTTGTATAAATGATGTTTGCTGATTTGCTATAGGTATTTAAAGATGCTGTTTCCTTCTTAAAACAACTATTTCACTTTCAATTTATGTAAACTAATTACTTTTTGTATAAAAAATGTTGACAAGACAATGCATTTGGAGTAAAAATAAATTTCTAAAACTTCTGGATTATTCATTTATGTTAATTATGACATAAATAAAAAAATCATTAATTATTTTATTACTGCTATATAGCTGGTAATTTTTTATCGAGTTCATATTGCTGTGGAAAATATTGCATCTTTAAATAGGTTAATTACTGAGCAAACTATCTTGTTATTATTGCTAATTAATGTTGAACGTATTTGACCTCACTTTAAACAAAAAGCAGAATCAATAATTAATAACTGTTATTTTGAAAGTAAAACCAAATTATTTCAACTGTTTTAAAATTTGCTTTAAGGAAGAACAACACGCTAACACATCTGCCAATTATGATGTAGAGCTACTTCATCACAAAGATGCACATGTAGATTTCCTGAAAAGTGGTAAGTAAGAGAAATTAGAAAAAAGTCTTTTGTAAGATCTGACATATGAAAGCATATTAATAGCTGAGACCTTTAGTAAACAAACCTGCTCAACTTAATTAATGCAGCCTTTTCCAAACTTATCTGACAGTATCACGTACTAATGGCCCTGGGACTAGTGTCCTGTAGGATTTACTTTGGGAAAAAGTAGGCTAATGGAACAAATATTGAGAAAGATAGCCATTATAGTCATGTCATAGTTTCTCTTTTGTGAGCAAAGAACCCTGGGAAAGGAAGGAGAACGGAAGCAGAACTGAAAGAGTGATAGACTTACAACTCGCCTGGATAAAAAGCTGTTTTGAAATTCACATTAGTTTTTTTCCCTCTAAAAATTATTTCATTCAGTAGATCTCATCTTCAAAACCATGATTTCTGCCACTGTATCGGCATGGTTGGGGGAGAAGACTCTAGGGTTTTCGCTAAAGCTCAGCCACCAGCTAGCAAGCCCCCATGTGTTTCCAGATTTCACTTTATGCACTTAAAAATTAAAGGTACTGGATTAGATTAACTGTAGTGTTCCATAGAATCCTAAAATTAAGTGAAGTTGTAAGATTTGAAGGACATTTTAAAAAGCCTTTAAGTTTTGATATTTGGCTAAATCCTTTAGAATGTTTTCTATGTAAATTGATGCTATCAGAGAATTAAATGGTTGACTTTGATAATGTTGGATACATCTATTCAGAAGTATAATACCATGAGCTGATCATAGTATTGGTTACATGTGTAAGGAATCCTGGAACTAACCTAATATGAATTGCAAACAGAAGAAAAACTATTAATATAAATGCATATATTAATGTTTAGCAAATAAATGTAGAAAACTTGTTTTTAGAGATATAATATGTGGAAATTGCTAGGAATTTGTGAGCTAACATCAGTTTTTTAAATTTTTTTTTAAACTTAGAAAAAAGCTTAAAAATACTCTTTGTAACATAAGCTATTTCTTTAAAATAGTTGTTGATTTGACCTATAAGTGTACGTATGACACATGGACACCATGTATGAGATGCTGTGGTAGCAATAGGCACAGAGTGCTGTGGACGCAGAGGGGGTTGCATGTGATTATGCCTCTAAGAGATAGGCAAGCTTCTCTAATATTTGAGCTGGATCTTGAATGAGTTTGTTTACACTTTAGCCCAGATATCTCCGCTAAGCTCCAGATCTATATAGTTTACCGCCTACTTATCAACCCTTAGATGTCTCTAAGGTACCTAAAACTCAACATGTCTAAAACAATTTATGAGCTTTGCCCTGAACTGGTCTTCTAATGTTTCCCATCTCAGTGAATGGTCCTGTTGTTTATCCGGTTATATAGGACAGAAACCTTTGAGTCATTTTTGAGGAATCTCTCATTCTTCATATTAAATCCATCATCATATATTCTTGATTTTATCTACTAAGTATCTCAGATACATCCACATCTGCATTTCCACTACCATTACCTTCTCCCTAATCCAGGCTATTATTTTCTTAACTAGTATCACACAGTAGCCTCCTAAATGGTGTGCCTCTATCCACTCTTGACCCACTAGCTAGAATAGTTTTATAGAATACTAATCCTGACTATGTTGCCCTTAGAGTAAAACCCTCCAATGCTCTCTGTTGTCCTTAGGATGAAGATAGAACTGCTGAAATGCCTTCCAAGACCCTGAATAGTCTGGTCCCTCCGCGTTTCCAGTCCCATCTCACATCCTTCTCTTCTTCCTGTGTTACATTCATGCAGATGTGATAATTTTTTTTTTTAATGTTTTATTGTACTTCAGG